TCTATTAGATATAGATCTAATTAGAAATCCCTTATATAATCTTTTAGTATATCCTAAACTAAATACTATAATCTATGCTATAATCGCAGTAGTAATAGGGAGCAAATCTCCTAAGAACCCTAAAAGAAATACGCACTAGGACGCTCTACAAAAAGAGCTAAAATAATAGAAGGATCTCTATAACCACTAAATAGGACAGCAATTTAGAGACGTAGTATATAAAGAAATTAATACTCTGCTAAAAGCTAGTACCTAGGAGGAGATTAATAGGCTAACTATAGGAGAGCGTCTACTCCTACTTAAATAGGTGTTTATATATAAGCTTAATTAGGATAGTTACCTAATTAAGTGCAAAGCAAGGATAGTAGTAAGAGGAGATCTATAGCTTACTAACTTAATTTATTTAACCTACGCAGCTACCCTAGTAGCTTAAACCTTTAGGACTACAATAGCTATTAGAGCTAAGTTTAACCTTAAGATATATTAATATAACATTGTTAGAGCTTTCCTTAACGCCTTAAGGGATTAACACCCTATAGTTATCTATAAGCTACCTAAAGGATATTAAATACCTAGGAAGTGCGTTAAGCTTAAACAGGCTCTATATAGACTAAAAGACTTACTATTATTATAGTATAATAAGCTCTTAACTACACTCTAAGAAAATAAGCTTACTACTTCTAAAGAGGAGCTATGCCTATTCTTTAATAGAGATTGTAGTATCTTGTTAATATTCTATATAGATAATATCCTATTACTCTATTACTAAAACTACATAAGCTAAGCTTATAAAGTTATCTAAGCTCTAAAGCAAAGATATACTATAGAAGAAAAGGGACCTGTAAGCTAGTTTCTAGGGGTAAGAGTAATCTAGGATAGAAAGAGATAGATAATAACGCTTGTTTATAATAAATATATTAACAAGATTACAAAGAAATTTAATCTAGTAGAGATAGGAAAATTCCCTACTATACTACTATTAAGTAAAGATATTAAAAAGAGCACAGGAGAAGCTACTAAAAAGGAGATTAAGGACTATTAGGAGCGCGTTAGATTAATCCTTTACACCTTAATTATAGTGCGCCCTAATATTGCCTATATAGCCTCCTAGCTCTCCTAATACCTTACTAACCTATCTAAATAACACTTTAATACAGTTAATTAAGTAATTATCTATCTATACTAAACTTAATACTAATTAATCTAATATAGGAATAGGGATCCTAATAAGCTTATAATATATAGTAATGCGTTATTTGCTAATAATATTAATACTTAGCAATTATTATATAGATACCTAATTACGCTCTTTAGAGGATCTATTATTTAGAAGGTAGCTTAATAATTAACTATTACTACTTTAACTACTAAGGTAGAGCTTCTTGCGCTTAAGCAAGTAAGCAAAGAAGTAATAGCGTTAAAACATTTTTTAACTAAAATACACCTTACTTTAGATACTACCTAGATAATTAATTATAATAATTAATAAACTATTAGGTTAGTAGTAGGTAATAATAAAAGGATTACTACTAAGCTGCGCTATATAGATATTTAAAATATATAGCTTAGGCAAGAGTATATAAAGGGATCTTTCTATATTACCTACCTACCTACTAGTAATATACTAGCTAATAGGCTTACTAAAAACCTAATAGTATAATAATTTATAAGGTTTAGGGAGCACCTAAAGTTATATAATAGCAGAGTATATATTATATAGTATTAATTAAAGTAAGGTAGTATATAAGATCTATTAATATATAATATAAAAATAACTAACTATAGCCTACCTCTCTATTATTAACTAGGTAGCTTCCCTAAGGAGCTTTATTACACGCGTAAAGCGTGCCTTAGAGTCTATAGGGAGCTACCTAGGTTACCCTATCCTAGGATCTATAGGGGGAACCTTAGAGGAGCTAGAGTCCTTATCTTCTAATAAGGAGCTCTAGGTACCCTTAGCTATAGAAGCAGCCTTACGCGTAAGCTTAGTGGCAGTAGTAGCAGCTTTTACTAGCTCCTACTATTTAGCCTTGCTCTCCTTAAGGAGCACTAAGACCCTTCGCTTCTTATCCTTAAGAAGGTCTTAGCTCTTACCTACCTACTTCCTTACTAGGAAGGACAGCGTAGAGCGTTAGGCAAGCTTAGGGCTATTAATTAGTTTATTAGTATAAGATCTTGCTAAGTATTATAAAGGAAAAATTCTTATATAGATTATATATATTAGGATATAGCTATACCTAGAGAAGTACTACTAGTACTAAGTCCCCCTACTAGAAGAGTTATAGCACTTACTATTAGACTTATTAAAGAGCGCTAAGCGTAGATAATTTAGATAAGTTTTAGCATAATAAATACTAGGCTCTCTATAGTAGGAGGATCTTAGGGTCTCCTTAGGAGCTAGAGAGGGAGCAGGCGCAGGAGTGGGGGCCTTAGGCAGGGTCTAGGGGGGAGCAGGAGCTAGAGTTAAAGCTAGAGTAGTAGGAGCTAGAGCAGGAGCGCCTTATCTTAGCTTTATAATCTTAGCTATAATAGTAGTAGCTATACGCTTAGCTACTATATACTCTATAATAGCCTTACGCTTAGTAGTAGCGTGCTCTTCTTTAGTAGTAGTAGCTTTAGTAACTATAGCTTTAGCTACGCAGGAGGTAATAAGGGTAGTATAGGTAGAGTAAGCGCAAGTAGTAGGTTTTAACTTTAACTAAGATATAGGTTAGTAAGGATATAAGTATAGTTTAGATCTTTAAGGTTATATAATCTTATAACTTAAGCTATAGTAAAAGATTATAGTTAGGTAGATAGAGTTATAGAGCTCTATCTAGATAATATCTACGCGCGTAAGCACAGGCTAAATAAGGAAGGCGCGCTAGTTAGTATCTAAAGGGTAAGCTAATTTAACCCTTTAGATATACAACACTCTAATTAGCTACACTACCTACTAACTATAAGTATAACTATAATAATAATAAAAAGATCTACCTATACCTAAGGGGTATGTTACAGGAGGGATATTAACTAGATTACAGAGCATCTTAATCCTAATTAATCCTAATTAATCCTAATTAATACCCCTATATAACCCACTATCTAATTAACTGCTAGCTTACTGCTAAGTGCCTAATAAAAAGCAGGAGCTCTAGTAAGGAAGGTTTACTAATTATTTACCTTCTAGTAAGGGTAGCTAAAGCTCTATATATATAAGTACGATCGTAGTAGATACAATCTAATAATCTATCTCCCAAATTATTCCTAACCTTAGTAATCCAAATTTCCACAGGTAGTATAGGTAAAGTAAGTATAAGTAGTAGGTTTTAACTTTAACTAAGATATAGGTTAATAAGGATATAAATATAGTTTAGATCTTTAAGGTTATATAATCTTATAACTTAGGCTATAGTAAAGATTATAGTTAGGTAGATAGAGTTATAGAGCTCTATCTAGATAATATCTATATACGTAAGCGTAGGCTAAATAAGGAAGGCGTGCTAGTTAGTATCTAAAAGGTAAGCTAATTTAACCCTTTAGATATATAACACTCTAATTAGCTATACTACCTACTAACTATAAGCGTAACTATAATAATAAAAGATCTACCTATACCTAGGGGGTGTGTTATAGGAGGGATATTAACTAGATTATAGAGTATCTTAATCTAATTAATCCTAATTAATACCCTTATATAACCTACTATCTAATTAACTACTAGCTTACTACTAAGTGCCTAATAAAAAGTAGGAGCTCTAGTAAGGAAGGTTTACTAATTATTTACCTTCTAGTAAGGGTAGCTAAAGCTCTATATATATAAGTCTAATTATAGTAGATATAATCTAATAATCTATCTCCTAAATTATTCCTAAACTTAGTAATCTAAATTTCCACAAATACTATATAGAGTAATACCTTTAAGGAAAAGCTAATATTAATAGCTTTTAAAGTAATAGGTATCTTACTACTTAACCTTAATATTATCCTTTTAAGGTTTAAAGCACCTATAAATAATAGTAACTAGCCTTCTTTAAGTAATAGTATAACCTTAATATTAAGTATAAGTAATTAGAGAAAGATAGAGTAGTTACTTTATAATACTATAATTAATATCTATAATAAATAGTTAAAGAAGCTTAGCTAGATAATCTATACTATATTAGTAAGAAATACTTTACTTAACTATAAAAATAAATACCTAAGGGCTACCCTAGCTAATAAGAAGAAGTATAGGAAGCGTAGTAAACCTCTATTATTACCCCCTAATAATAATTATAGTAGTAGTACCTAATTTATTTTACTATTAAAGGTAGAGTAAGTATTTAAGCTCTAGAAGTAAAAGAACCTTAAAGAATAAGAGCTATAATACTAAAAAAGTAAGGTAATTAAGCTTTATAAGTAATAGAAGCTTGCTAAAGCTTAACTTATAAAGAAGTATTACCTAAATTAAGTAATTACTAAGAAGGAGTAGGAGGAGAAAGCTACCTAAAAAGCTACTATATATAATAAGTAGAAAACTACTAAGTAACTAGAAAAGTAACTCTAAAATAATATTAAAATATCCTAAATAAGTAAAAGGTAAATCCTTAAGCCTCCTACTATTATACTAGCTAAGGTAGTTAATAAGGAGCTAGTAGAAGAGGATATAGTAGTAGAGGCAACTTTATAGCATAGGCGCCTAATTAGACCCCCTAAAAAGCTGCTTATATAATCTAAAATATTTAATCTACTCTAATAGATCTAATAATCGCGACTCTAAGAAATCTTGTAATAATAGCTATTGTGGGTGGCGTAATATCCTTATTTAGTAGGTGGTGGATTTTGGTGTTGGTGGGCGCTCGGTGGGGGTGGGCGCTCGGTGGTGGATCACGTTACATAAGACGCCCCACGAACGCCGCTCCCCTCAAAAGCCAGCTGGTCAATTCGCTTTCTTCTGATCTCCAGGCAGCATCCGCTGCTCTCACCTATTTCACATACACCAACACCATTGCTCGTAGTCACTTCAGCTATAGGCAGTTATGGATGTCTTTTGGACGCTCCCGCCTGTCTCCAGGTAAGCTCTGCCGCACTCGAGCCCTCTCACCAGTCGCCCAAGCTAACACCTATACAAGGACCATCACAGCATTGGCTGTCGGTGTATCCGCCTTGGGGTACAGCGGCCTCATCGATCTTTCTAATTATGTGTTTGTGAGCCAATGGGTCTTTACCATGAAAATGGTACCCCAGCTCTGGCGTGTCGTCACGGGGTTTCTTATCACGAAACCCAAGTTTGGCATCCTCTTGGACCCGTACTTCCTGTACCAGTACGGCAGTGGCCTCGAACGCGAGTCCTCCCGCTTCTCGCAGCCGGGAGACTTCTTCGTATACACGGCGTTTCTCGCCAGCATCATAGTTGTAAGTACCTCTGTGTGCTTTCAATCTTCGCCCACAACGCTTGCACTATATACCTCGCATCGACACGACTGTCTGCGACCAAACAATCGGTCTTACAGACCACCTCGGATTATCTGCTCGCCCAGCCTATACTTCTAGCTGAAGCGATTCCTGGAACCGAGGGAGAGTACCCTTGCACATTATGCCGTTCCGTCATTCGCAAAATCCAAAAGGGACGCGTGTGGTGTGTGAGCATGGTGGGAATGCTACTTGAGAAAGCTTTGCGAATGCTCTCCATTTCGTTAGGCGGTGTTGGCTCCCTACATATCTTGCGTTTTTCATGATCTTCGTCACAATGTTTTGCTGCGATTGAGTGTCTATATAGGAACTCTACGCTAACATTGCTCGTGTCAAGGCAACAGCAGGTGCTGCATTCGGCTCCTACACCTTCCTCCCCGCGCTCTCACTCGCCTACGCATATACCTACGCGCAAGAAAACCCCACCCGTAAAGTCTCCTTCTTCGTCGTCACTTTCGATTGCAAGTTCCTTCCGTACGCCATGCTCGCCATGTCGTTCGTCATGGATGGTCCCGGGACCGCCCTCGTGCAAATTTGCGGTCTACTCGCTGCACACATGTACGATTTCTTGACGAGGATCTGGCCTACATTTGGCGGAGGCAAGAATTACATCTTCACCCCACAGATTGTGCGGAGCTGGTTTGGTGCGACGCCCGGTAGCGTGCAGAACCGAGGATACGGACATGCGGTTCAGGGACGTGGAGCAGCGCCGAGCACTGGAGCAAGCACGAGCGTGAGGAACGCGTGGGGTAGCATGGGACCCGGTCGCCGACTAGGCGGATAGGGCATTGCACTTGTACTGGAAACGTCTTGTGTAAGGATTCATGGGTTGGATGTCCATCAAATAGATATAGTTGCCTCGCGTTTCGAGTAACATCAATGCATTGTAGGCATTCATGTTTGCGAACTGTGACAATTTACATCCAATCTACAAATACCGCCGACTTGTATCACAAGCGATAGTACCTGCGTGCCACCCCTCTTTGTCACATCCGCACATATCACATTCAGCAACAAAACCATGATCAAACTGAAGTGGTTATACTCCTTAACTATATCTAATCATCACTATACAAACCCCCTCCCCTCCGCCCCAGAAACATTCATCTACTTCGAGCTCCCAGCTGGATTACTCGGCCCATCCACCGCCCTCTCCACATGTCCCGCAATCCCATTCTTACTCGCATCAAACTGACTCCCAATCACGCCATCCTTGCTAAACGGACCCCCCACCGCCTGTGGAATCTGGCCAATTGACCCATCGGGATTGACTGGTGTTTTTCTGTTAGCATTGTGCTATGTGCAGCGCCTACGCCTCGAAAATGAATTCCACGCAAGCGGGAGAGGTATGACAGAGCACGGCCGAGAAGAGGAAGAAAAATAAAGATACATACATTGTCGTCCGATTGCCCCCGCGCTACTAAGCACACTCGGATTCTCCTGTGGAATAGCATTGGTATCCTTCTTTGCGCCTATCTTATCTGCAGCCGCGGTCGTATTGTCCGTCATATTTGGCGAGTTTCCGGGTTGAGAGAGGCCGAGTTGCTGGGAGAGAGGTTCTGTTGATTTGGGCATGGATATGCTTTTGAGAGAGAGAAGTATATTTGACTGTGGTGAAGGAGGATTGAGGTGACTGGAGAGTGAGGTTGCAAGTCGAGTTGTAGATATGGGTTGGGATGGTATGGAGGTCAGGTACAGTGTTCCAATGGGTTAGATTATATAGGGGGATTGTAGATGGGGAGTGCGTGTAGAGTGCGTCACAAGGAGGCGTTGAGGTTGATGATGGGTGGTGATGTCATGATGAGAGTGTGTGGGCGATGTGCGGCGTTGACATGTGGGACATGTATGATGCAAGGGTTTGAGCTACGGTGCGTTTTCAACTACCGTGGAGGAGAGAGAAGGTCTCTGATTTCGACTTGTGTGGTGATGCTGTGGGGTAGCTAGTGGCTCGTGAGCGGCAATGTAAGTGTCGTACTTTTGGAGTGGCGAATAGTGATCTATGGTGAACACGACACCCCAATCAGTAAATACTGGGTATCAACAAATCATAAGACAATTCCGGTTCCGGGAAATGCTTCATTGAAATTGCTGATTCTGGTATCATAGCACGCTACTAACCCCTCCTCTTCTGCCGCGCACCGCCGACTTTTGGGAATCTTAATGGTAATTTCAACTTTGCGATGAAGTGGTTAGCACTCTCGGCCTTGGTCAACTTCCACTTGGCCATATCTGTCTGTGTTGGTGCTGAAAGCTTGCATCCCAGTTCCAGGAAGTACTGTTTGATTCTGTTGGGTATTAGCCGCAATACCCTTTATAGAGAAAGGGGAAACGTACTCTTTGTTTTCGAGCTTGAGGTCCTCCCGAAGATCATTAATGTCGACTTCGTGATCGTCGACGATGAGCGCTGCTGCTGCAATGTGTGTCATGAGGTTGTCGATATTCCAGCGAGGCATGTCACCACTATCAATGTTAACTCGGAGTACATCCACATCGTACAAAGACTTACTTTTCCGAGGCAAACTTCCTCCTGATGGCCAAAACACATCCTGCAGGTGTGTCATCGCCCATGGCAGCCTCCAGCTTTCCCTTTATGGGAATCTTCTTGGGCTTGTTTCCACCAGAACCCTGTAGTGCAGCGTTGAAGTTGATGCACAACAGTATGAAGCGCAACACCTTGAGCTTCTGGATCTGCTTGCCTCTGGCGAGTTTGACAATGCGCTTGGCAACAAACTTGCTGCTGACTGAGACACCCTGACCAGCTGTTGATGCGTCTACCCAGTCCTTGACTTCTAGCATGGTCATTAGCCCGCTACCCACGATGTTATCAATCGTGTAGACATCGCCTGGGTATTCGGCGGCCAAGTTGGGCGTAGGTCGAGGCTTGGATTTGTCCACTGCTGCTTCGAGTTCTGCCTTGGTAGGCATCGGGACACCAGTATTCGCCATATTTGTGAGGACATTCTCCGCCACAGCATCGTTCTGCGCTGTGCTCGGATCGCCTGGCTTGCCGCTGTGTATGGCATTCAGCGTCCGATCCTCGAGCGCCTTTCTTGACTTCTTCGATCCGAATTCTGAAGCGAGTGCTGCGCGCTTTGCAGTGATATTGCCCAGTTGTGCTTCCTTGCGTGCCTGCTCTTCTCGCATCTCTTCGGTCTCGCTGCGCAGAGTGCTCCGTACAACCAGTCTCTTTACAGGCACGACCTGCAGCTTGCTAGTGCTTGGATCGTATACGGCAACATAGTCCTTCAATTGACTCTCTGAGCTGCCATCATGCTCTTCTTGTGCGAGATAGTCGAGACGGGGATGATCCGAAGACTGCAAGAGCAAATCGGTGATTTCGCCTTTGCGTAAGATCTTCGTGCGCTTATAGGGATTGAACTTGATATGCGGCGGTATTTGGAAACCAGGTGTGGCGGCTGTAAAAACAATGAGCAACCGTGGTGCGTAAAGCTGTATTGCGACAGATTGTGCTTACCTAGTATCGGACCCAGTAGTTCCTTGTTCTCCACCAACTCGACGCTCACGGTTCCTTTTGGCGTGGTGGCCGCCTTCTTCTTTGGCCGCTCGCCTTTGCCGCTCTCCTCATGTCTCTTTCTCTTCTTCTCTTTCTCACTCATCGTGGCGGGTGGCTGGGCAGACGCTGGTGACACTGGTGACACGGGCGATGGTTCCGGCGATGGTTGTTTGTCGCGACTCTCAGAAAAAGTTCGGATCTCGAATTGGCAGAATTGGGCGGTGAAGCACTAGCGTGCCATGAACTACGCATGGATGACGTCTCCGCGTTTAGTGGACGCGTTCCAGTCCAAATCGCTCCTTCTGCACATTTAGGCAGGCGCGACACCAAAGTGTTTGTTGGCTCTTCTTAGTCCCTTCCTCGTTCCAGAGAATAATTGTCTGGATTGATCACATGCAATCACCCTTATCTCTTAAGTCAATGTAGCCTCAACCCATTCTCTGCTTCTTCGTCCCATCTCATTCCACTCTCATTCTCCTTCTCCTGCTGTCCACCTCTTCCTTTGATCCTTTTTGCGCCAGTCCTCAGACGCTGCCGTACCCCAATCAAATCAGCCATGTCCAACATGTTCCGAAATGCTTCAGGAGTCGTGGGAAATGCAGGCAAACAACTCCAATCTACCACTAAAAGGGTGGGCAATACTATCCAAGCCACAACCGATAGGATGCTCCCAGCCCAGCAACGCAAGGAAATCGCCCAAACCCTCCGCTTCTTCGCTGAGGACAACCCAAAGCTGGCAGTGTGGACCCCTCGAGTCCCATGATGTCTCCAACCGCTGACAGTCTAGGCCTTCCTCGCGACACAAGCTGTCCTAGCTGGCCTTCCTCTTATCCTCTTCGTCGCCTTTGCTACGACGACTCTTCTAGTCTCACTTACCACCTGCCTACTGCTGGGTCTTCTGGCCTCTCTAGCCTTCACTTTCATGGTCGTTGGCTTTGCTCTCATCTTCGTTGTACCCACTGTCTTTATTGCCAGCTGTTCGGCAACCTTCATCTTCATCTGGGGTCTCGTCGGCTACACTATCCTTCGACGGCTCAATGGGGGTGAGACGCCCTCCAAGCGCGGTACACGGATGGGAGATAAGCTGCACGGGCTGAAGAAAGGCCAGACTGGAATACACGTTGGTGGTGAGGCAGGTTATGGCCAAGACAGCAAGGAAGTACGCAAGCCGTCCACGAAGAAACACGGTGCCAGCAAGAGCGACGACTGCGACAATGCATCACGTCGTGGGAATGGTGGGTACGCGAATGGAGAAAATGGCCACCAGAGTACGATTGAGTGGGAACAGAAGTGGGACAATGGAGTTCAGCCGCACCCTGTTTCCGTTGAAGTTGATAACCCTTATCAGGTTCTCAAAGCTGTAAGTCTTCAAATTACACACAAAATCTGAGCTTTGCGATCTGTCTGACAGTTCAAAATAGGAAACTGAAGTATAATGAGTTCTCACTCTGAAATTTCTTGACGACCAACAATTGCCAAAAAGCTACACAAGATGATGGTTTGATACTTCAACATCAATGGTAACGACATCTCCAGGAAGGTCTTGAAATTAGCTCCAGAATGCAAGGGATAATTTGAGTACCAACTTCACATAGCTAAATTTAACATCTTTCTAATGATGGAAGCCGCCTGCGACAAGATGACGCCTGCCCAAGTGCGCCTGAACAATCAGATCTCACATGCACGTGACCCATTACTTCACGCATAAAATCTCTCACTTCTACTAACACAGCATGCATCCTTCAAGCACACGTCAATTGCTCGAATATTCAAAAATTAGCCGACGCACCTTCATATCGCTTTCCCGTGCATTCAAGCGTATCAACGACACATATATGGAGTCTATTCAAAAAAAAGCCTGGTCCAAGTGTAATGTCTCGACTCCATTGCATGGCGATCAAATTGTATCATCAAAAAAACGCTTGCGTCTTCTCTTGGACCTGTCTTCAAAACAAGTTAGTCCGTCAAGTGAACATATCCTGATCGTCTTTTTCGACAGCAATCATCCGCAAGCCTCACGGCTGCAATCTAAATGTTCTTACTACATCTTTGCAAATCAATGATACTGTCAGCAAATGAGAGTTGTGTCTGGTATCCTCATTCGAGTACATGCCCATGCATCACGTCTCGGTGCCATGAGAGACTAGTGCACTTCCGAAATGAACACCATTACAAGCGCAGATGATCTCAGGAGATTTGCGGGTCATATTCATTCTGCAATGACAACGTACAAAGACTTTGTTGTACTAGACAAGGTCGTGAAGGCGTTGTCTGGACTCTACCTCCATCACCAATGTCGCAGTGCGAGGGGGAGCCACTGCCCAGAAGAACATGGAGAATTATCTCTGGAGGGATCATCAGAAAGGCCCTCCAGTAAGGACTTCAAAGGATGCTAGACTAGACTGCAAAGTCCGTATAGCCCCGCAGTATCCTTAGTTCTTGAGAAGTATGAAGTACAAGCAACATGTCCAGATCACCATCTGCCAACGCTACTTTACACCAGTGCCACTTCAATTGCGCCACCTCAACCCTACCCGTAAGTTCAAAGTGTTTGCAGCCTTCAATCCGCAACTAAATTGAAGCTTTTGGTATCCTGCCAGAACATTGGGCGTAACGCGCAATATCTTGGATGCGAAATCACTTGGGCTCGACACCCATCGCTAAAACTTCTCTCCAGCAAGCGTGATGTTCGCAGTCACTCGCTCATGGTCAGCTTTACTTTCTGTGGGGGCATGGGGGAGCGGGGGAGGGCATGACAAAGAATATGCCGGCGACATTGCAATCGAGCTGCGTTGGTAAATAAGAGATAGGCCTCGAATTTCTCGCTGGCTTGACATTTGTCACTGGGTACAAACGCTGATACCCATTCCCAATGCGTATGCGCGAATTTTCTTGTTTGCTGCGCATGATGTATAAATTGCAGATTTTGGGTATATGGAGACGCTCAACCACGGCACTGTCAGAAATCGTAGCGGCCATGAGGCAGAGAGAAGATTCAATAGCAGAGCTGGGGAGGTGAATGTCTTGCCACGTTTTCAAAAGGAGCAAGAGAACATCTATGAAGTTTGGACCTGGCTTGAAACACAGGCTTGAAAAGAAAAGTGCAAGGCATCACATCACATGTCTTTGGAATTGGAAGGGCAAGTATGCTATGAATGGTTCGTGCGGAGTATATTGCAGAGTTTTTTATTCCACAGTGTTTTCACAATTTTCGAAATGCCGACTCATGTGATATTGTGTGAGGGTCTGCTTTTCTTCATAAATCCTCTCCGCACCGATGATGGCCTTTGCTCTGGCGAGTTCAGACTATAAAGCTTGAATGAACATGTGTGGAAGAGTGGATGTCTACTCTATTTTGTTTTTGCAATACTTTACCTGTCTTGTTGCATGCACTTTTGGTTTTCAAAGGAATATATGAGACTGCCGACAACATCGCTGGACTAGGCACAGTAATGGCTGGTAGGCGTAGTGGGTCCATATAAAACCTCCATCGATACCACTTTGCTCCAACGCAAGCTCACAAAGTCCCACCTATGCCCTTCTTCAGCCATGAAACACACACCAGTGTCTTTGACATGCCTGGACATCACTACTGCTACGAATTAATGCTATCTAGCATTCGTTTTACAACTCTTTCAAACCACGAAGCTGGTCCTTCCATGCTCCTTGCGCGCGTTTTCTAAACCTACTTCGAGAAAGTTCATGTCATCACCTCCTTTACACACGCGCGTACATACATGAGAGCTTAATAAAGGTATAAAGTCTGCGCTGCTGTTCATTCATAGCTCTCTAATTACCCAGTTGAGATTCAACTTTGGAAACTGGAGTACTGGGGCGACATGTATGCTTAGGTCGTCACAAATAGAAGACTTACTACAGAAATGTTTGCTTGTTTCCTACCGTTGAATTACGCCACGTTGAGAAAAATGAGAAGCTCGAAATCCCGTTGACAATGCATGTACGCAAGCTCGACAACAGTGATCGAAGACATGTTATGCCTCGGGGTTTTGGTCTCCTATCATCAGTACACGGCGGGTGAAGTCCGAAAGGAAGAAGCAAAATGGTACATGTCCCTTGTAATCCAGTGCATCCACTTAATAAGACCACGCTTTGGATCCAACAGTATTGTAGACATGTACCTTGCCATCCGCGTGCCGGAATATCAAAATATGCAACGTAGAAGAGGCATGTTTCGGATCAAACGTTCGCCTGAATGACTAATGGTTTTGAGATCCAAATCCTTGGTCGATCTTCTCCATGACTTCGAAAAGAGGGAGCAAGGCACTTTGATCTCGAGGACCCCCCGGTATATCTACACTTGCTCCTGCATTGCCTCTCTCTTTCAAAGTGCGACCACCAGAGGCCATATATTTTGGTCAATATATTCTGGTTTATGACACCCACGGCGCACTGGGCCGAATACGTCTACAACGAGTATAGTCAAGTCTCCATGTGCCAGATAGCCTGGGGGCGACCACTAATCCCAGCCTAAAGGAGCGACATGAGCGGATATGTCCTTGTCCTCCTTTCCAAAAATTACCTTACAAGATACTTTCTCTGGCCAATCTCTATCATATCCATCCCGCCAATCAAACAACTCCAATTCCTCAAAGACATACAAATATATGATCCTGCTTCCCTAGAACATCTTCTCCATCCACCCCTTCACTGCAACGATACCAAAAAAATCAAACACTTCGTCCCGTGAAAGCGTAACGATTTCACATGAAAGATCGTTTCAAAGTTTTCTAATGTCCACCCTTGCTATCGGCGAAATCCCATCTCGTTTCATCCATGCGACTTCCACCAAGAGCGTCCCAAACCCCCATATCCACCAAGAACACAAAGCACCCTCAAAACATCGAACCTGTCCTCGCGCAAAAGCTGGTATAGCAACACATATATATACTCCATCTGACAAACGTCGGTATAAAAACGCCTTGAATCGCCAGACCCAGCACCCCGAACAATGTCGAAAAGGTCAGCGTCTACGCGATGAGAATTACTTGAGTGGAAGGATTACATTACCAAAGTCTCCAGCGAAACGGGAAAAAATACGCGTCATGGGTTGTGCTGGGCTTGTCGGAGTGTGTAACAGTCTACATGATACTAGTTCACTTTAGTATTTAATGAAATCTTCCAAAGGCTGGAGGGGTGTCATACCGAGGCCAGAATATTCCGTGACTTGCATTAACATTGCGATAACTTCTCCATTGGATTCGGGGTCATCTTGCTGCTCCGACGCCGCGGTAGGTAATGCAGAGCTGGATGATCGCAAAGTACGGTACCGGGAGCGTATATCCAGGTGACTACCTATCCTACCATACCGCGCCACCTCGGCCTACTATAAAACCACGTCTTCTCTCACATTCATGACTCCCCAACCACACCACAACCCCATCTCCACCTAACAGGCACAAAAACCCAGAACCCGTACATGATGTCCTGTGGTGTAACCCGCCAAAAGAGCCAGTTATCGGACAACATGCCCGCGCTCTCTCGAAACCAGCATTATACATTCACTACGGTAAAAAATTGTTTACTGTAGAATGGTACGCTAGGGGTTTACTATATAGGTGTAAACTAACCTCGTGTATACCTGTAAATAGGTTTAAAGTAGTAGTTTACTTTTATAATAGGGGTTTAAATTAAGTATAAAAAGTAGTTTTATTTCTATTATACGCTATAATACCTAAGACTAAAAGGGGTAGAAAAGATTAGCTTCACGCTATACGCACATATGACATAATAATAAGTCATGATATTTTTACTAATAGGAGGTGGTGATAATAGAGGTGGTGGAGGTGGTGATAATAGAGGTGGTAGAGGTAGTAGAGGTGGTAGAGGTAGTAGAGGTGGGGGAGGTGGTGGTGGTGCTAGAGGTGGTGGAGGTGGTGGTGGTAGAGGTGGTGGTGGCGATCGAGGTGGTGGAGGTGGTGGTGGTAGAGGTGGTGGTAGAGGTGGTGGTAGAGGTGGTGGTAGAGGTGGTGGTAGAGGTGGTGGTAGAGGTGGTAGTCGAGCTGGTGAAGAAGACTAAAGAAAGGAGGGGTAAAATACTTAAATAGTAGGAAACTAGGTATTACTACGTAATACTAGTAGATTAATAGAAGTAGAAATAGAAGTAGTTTACTTTTATGGAATACATGGTATAATAAACCCTATTTAGGTTTACTTCTTCTACCTAAACCACTTCTTAGTCTACTTTAGATAAATATGGCTACTGTAAACCGGTTTTGTACCGTAGTGATTGGAGGATCTGGCCTTGTACCTACCGGTACTGCAAGGCTCCAAACATGCCTGGCTTAAAGATTCTTTGTTCCTCGTGTAACATACCCTACCCCGTGCCTCGAAAAAAAAGGGGGCGGGAGGGGGGGTATATTTGAAAGAAAAGCTTGTACAACCAACCCGTCTCCGTCTTCAAGAGATGAGAATCAAAATAAAACCTCCATCATTCTGAACACGTACAACAGTGGATAGAATGTGAATAGGATTGCCCGCTGAGGTAAGTACGTGTATTAATAAGCCAAGAGGGACATGGTTAGACGCAACGTATAATGATATTTATTTTAGTCACTGATCTCTATCCCTCTCCATATATAATCATGAAATTCTAACAAGGTTCTTACTTTTGATGCAAGTATTCGTTGCAAAGATTCATCATCGTCTGTTTTAATTTCTCCTTTTCACTACCAACTTCTCAGACACGAGAAATTACTACTTTTTTATAGACCAAGTTGTATGTCTAATACAATACTCTTGTACGGATACACGCTGCATTGCTGGTTAGAACCTTCCTCTTCTCGAAAGCAGGAGGGTAGGCAGGGGGAGAGAACATAGAGGGAAACTTACAACTCAACTCCTGCAAACTGGTGAATAAATCTTTGATTTCGCCCTCCTTGACCTCGCTAATGTCTGCCATGAGATAGGCGACATCGCCTCTCGAATCTGACATTTGCTTTTCAATGTTGTGGTGGAGGAGGATACCGTTGACTGGGTTGCCAGGTTAGCGTCCAGCACATTCTCGTTTACTTCAAGCTCATGTCTTTGATGTAATAAGACTCAAACTTACCTTGTCTAAGCACACCAGGAACGTTCTTGTGGATGAAAATGACACGCATGCAATCTGGTTGATCCTTTGCCAACCCCCTCAAGTTTACCTCGGGCATGTTGACGGCACCCAGCGTAGCACCTTCATTCACATATCGCACCAAGGCCGTGCTAACTTCTACTCCAATCGCACTCTGTGCTTCTTCGGTGCTGCCGCCGATGTGTGGTGTCAGGATGATGTTCTTCAGGCCGACGAGATCCTTGGTCCAGCTGTTGAGGTCGTTTGAGAAGTAATCCCCGTTGCCAGCAGGTTCGTTAGGGAAGACGTCTAGCGCTGCGCCGGCGAGCTTACCAGCGCGCGAGGCTTCGATGAGCGCGGGGATGTCGACAACGGTTCCGCGAGCATTGTTGATGAGGTAGGAGCCGTCTTTCATTTTTGCAAATTCAGCAGCGCCAATCAAGTTCTTGGTTTCGCTGGTCGCGGGAACGTGGAGAGAGACGAAATCGGCTTGTGAGAGCAAGTCGTCGAGGGAATTGACCTGTGTTGCGGTGCCCAGACCCATCATGGTCAAGACGTCGTAGTAAATGACATCCATACCCATGGACTCGGCCAATACACTGAGTTGACTGCCAATGTGCCCATAACCAACTATGCCCAGCGTCTTGCCACGAATCTCCCAGCAGCCTTTGCTGACTTTGTTCCATGTCCCGTTGTGCAGCTCCATGCTGCGGTCCGTGAGTTGGCGGGCGAGGGCGATGACCTCGGAGATGACGAGTTCGGCGACGGAGCGGGAGTTGCTAAATGGCGAGTTGAAGACTGCAATGCCCATTTGCGCAGCGGTTTGGAGATCGACCTGGTTTGTGCCAATGCAGAAACAGCCAATGACTATGAGGTTCTTTGCTTCTTCGAGGACGCGCTTGGTGAGCTTGGTCTTGGACCGGATGCCGATGACTTGTACATGGCGAATCTTTTCGATGAGCTGGTCTTCGGGCAGAGAGGCTTTGATGGCTTCCACTTGGTAGCCTTGGCCACGCAGGATGTCGACACCAGCTTCGTTTACATTTTCGAGGAGGAGCACCTTGATGTCCTTTGTGTCAAAGGGTTTCAGTTGCTTGGCGAGCTGCGAGGCGTTGGAGGCGTTGGGCATGTTGCCTAACTGGGCATTGCCAAAGCTACCAGACGGCGGGTTGCGCAGTGTGCTGGGTGGGCTGTGGAAGGAGAGATTGGGGCTGGTGCTGAAGTTAAGGCTGTTGGAAACGCTGCGGGCCAGCTTGTCGACATGGTTGCCGGCGATGTCCTGTGCGGGAGACATGGTGGGTACAGTGTGTGCGGCGTGTGCGTGGTTGTGGGGGGACGTTCGGAGGTTCGGAGGTGGGATGGCTGAGGGATGAGGGAAGGGCGAGGGATGGGATGCGGCGACTAAGAGGAAACATACAACCCGATGTGGGCATGTCACGCTGGTATGTAGGGCAGTCGAAATTACAAGCAGGTAAGGTATGTTCGTACGATCAAAGTTCGCATTGTAGTAGAGCATGAATCAGAACCAGGCATTTTCGGATGCGTGCAGGTCGACGTCGCCGATGTTCTGGCATCGTCAATCAAAGTCTAGAACGACAAGGAGTAGGCAACAAGCCGCGAGGACCCGTCCGAGGGACCGACAGTCAGGCCTGTTCCGCTTGGCCTGTTGGCTAGATGCAGATGAAAATACTTTGCTGTGAGCGTACTCTACTAGTATAGAGGAGAGTAGTAGAGTACCCTAGGTGCTGCATGAATCAATGCTCGCAATTCACGGTTGGTTGACTCATCCTTCGTCATCAGCGCGTCCGATGCTGTTACAAAAAATTTCTCATCACGCCGAATGATGCAATCCCACCAAACTAACGTGAGCTAGCGGGGCAACAAGCCCCCCCCCACCGCCGGCGTCCGCTTCACCTCCGATGCCTACCATCATCCCAAAGCAGCTCCGTACTAGTATCGAGTAGGCAGCCTTTTGCCACCTTCAGAGTTGCAAGAACACTTCGCGGGAGTGTCGTGTTCCGTACAGTAATGGAGGGTAGCTTCGCTTTTGGTTTACAACATTGTCATTTCAAAACACCCCCTTTATTCGTGGTCTATCAAAGTCTCGCTCGCTCGTCCTTGTGCCGAAGCTACACTCTGCAGACATCGGAAGAGAGAAAGAGAGAACCCAACCCTAATTTCTCCCAACCTTGTTCCATTCCCAGCACTAAGCATTGCGCAAAGAAAATACGGTCCATCCGTTCAAAGCTTCTGCTCGTTCATGGGCCATTGGTAGCCTGGAAACTGTATTAGTCGTTGCATGTCAGCAAATACTACAATCGTAGCGCACCTGCAGCATCACTGAACTTGTAGCCGTATGATGATGTGAAGTCGTCCAACACCGCAGGACCACGGGAGCCTATCCAGAATTAGCACAAATCACAGAGATCCCCCCCTGAGGAGAGCTTACCGTAGGGGTACTCCATGGGAATAATCTCCTTGTTGTCATCCAGGTAGTGTAGGAGAGGAGTGAAGATCCTCCAGCTGGCATCCAACTCGTCGTCACGGACAAAGTTGGAATGATCGCCCTTCAATGCATCGAGAATCAGGGACTCGTACGCCTCTGGGATCTTCAAGTCGGAAAATCGCCGCCTGTAGGTCAGGTCGAGCTCTGTGACCACGGTCTGCATGCTAAGACCTGGCAACTTGGAGTTCATCTTGATGTATACACTCTCGTTTGGCTGCACTCGAATCACGAGCTCATTTCGGGGTATGTCCTTGAAGATGCCAGATGTGACATCCTTGAACTGGATGCGGACCTCAGTCTTTTGCTCATTCAGAGCCTTGCCTGCCTTGAGGATAAAAGGCACACCGTCCCATCTCTCGTTCTTGATATAGGCAACCATGGAAGCAAAAGTTGGGCAGCGCGAGTCCTTGGGGACAGTGTCATCCTCCTTGTAACCGGGCTTTGATCCGTCCAATGACTTTCCATACTGTCCAATGATGACATTCTTGGGTTCAATGGCGGCCATGCCACGAAGGACGCGTACCTTTTCGTCGCGAATGTCTTCCGCAGAGAAGGAGATGGGTCGCTCCATCGCGAGGAGGGTCAGCACTTGCAGCAAGTCTGTCGAGCGTCAGTACTTGTTGGGGATCGTTCATGTGTCCTCGACCTATAACTCACGGTTCTGCATGACATCACGGATGATGCCAAACTCGTCGAAGTAGCCTCCTCGTCCCTCTGTCCCGAACGGCTCCTTGAATGTGATCTACAATTGGTGAGCCAAGAGCAATTCAATCCACCTTGGCTTATCGCTTACCTGAACGTTGTCGATGTGGTTCCTGTTCCAAGTTGCGCCAAAGAACTCGTTTCCGAATCGGAGGATGAGAATGTTCTTGACCATCTCCTTACCCAAGTAGTGATCAATACGGTATAGCTCGTCCTCGGTCCAGTCTGGTGCCAGCGCGCGCTGGAGTTCTCTTGAACTTGGGAGATCTTTTCCGAATGGCTTCTCAACCTGTGTTATTGTCGTTAGCTTCCTGCGATCGTGAGCCTTTAGATGCTGCACCTACAATGACCCGCGCAATGCCGTTTTTAGGGTAGCAGTTACGCTTCAGGTGCTGGGAGACTGTGGTGAAGACACTGGGAGGGAGTGCCATGTAGAAGATTCTGTGCGTCTCCTTGCGGCCCTTTTCGAGCTCCTGCATGTGCTTCTCGAGCTCCTGGAAGGACTCGTCTTTGTCATACTGGCCCGAAACATATGTGCAGAAACCGCAGAACTCCTCGAGCTGCTTCTCAATCTCCTTTGTGGGGGTCTTGATGTACGACTTGACGCGCTTCAGGTACTCCTCATGGTCCATCTTTGTGCGCGCATATCCGACAATGCGGATGTTCTTGGGAAGGAAGTTGTTTCGGTGCTGTATACGACGTTAATGGAGATTGCTCGAATCAAGCATCGTTCAACGTACAAGACCAAAGAGGGCCGGGAACTGGGCAAGGGTTAGCATGCTGGCTCAACTTCTGGTTGCTCCTATACGCACTGTCTTCTTCTTGGCCAGATCGCCAGAGGCACCCAAGACTACAATGATGGTGTTGTCCTTGAGCTCCATGTTGCTACAGATCATCTCTAGTCAGCCATTGTCCATTGCATACTCTCACATGGCCTCTGCGCTCATGTTGAGCTACCCCTCCCCCAAGATGGCGACATTTGTCTTGCAGGAGGGGCACGCGTCGGTAGAATCGCCGCATCGTCGAGAGACTTCCAACTTGCTGTATGTGGGACGGTGTCAAAACGGTGCAAGGGAAAGCGCTTACGCAGCATTGTGGTCCTCGTGGTGAGACTGGATGACTGTGTCCGCCATGATAGCTGCTGGGACGTGACGTGCAGATTGCGATGGTCGGGGCGGAGGGGGGGGGGGGGCAGTCGCAGGGCTCACACCGTAGGTAGGCAAAAGTTGTAACAAGTGCAGCTCTCTTCACAGTAGCAACAACAACGACGACGACGACGACAACGACAACGACAACGACAACGACAACGAACCTAAAACTGCGCTTTGTAAAGGTGGAAGGAAGCTACGGAAGGGGATGTGGTGGTTGATTGGAAAGCTTCTCTGTTCTGTTGTGGGCGGGGCCAGCCTTAGCGCTTTTAACGGTGATGTTGACGTAGATAGGGTCTATCCGTCTAGGCTCTACCTCCCCCCCCCCTTTCAGCGGCGCACCATTATTGGAGGGAATCGCTAGACGGCCGTCTGCGGCGAAAGCCTGACGTTAGGAAAAAGGAGCCATGGACCCATCTATACTGTACGGTTACGGTATGTGGTACGTTGGAGTGCCTATAGTAATAGTATAGAGTAGTAGTGCCATCTATCCCAACCGTCTGCCTGGTTGTTCACCCCATCCCCATCCTCTGTCATCAAGCCACCGTCGCTCATCTTGCAAAGCATCTCCGAGGCTCCAGTCGAATTTCACTCTCGCCGTCGCCGGAGCTGTCTTACTAACACCGAAACTGGAAGCGTTGTTGTGGATGCACCCAGTCCCACCCCCTCCCCCCACCACGACACTTTCCCCCGCGCTGTGCTTGGTATTCAGCATGGCTTCATCATGTCACGTCAGGTGCATTTTGACAGCGCATGCAGTCCGACTGAGCAGCCCATGTTCTCTGGCTTTGTTACATTACGTCTAGAGTACTATACCTAGGATACTTCATTTTGTTTCGACCATGTCGCACTTTCGGACATGTCCATCCCACGCCGCGCATCAACCCCGCCACGAAGCTCCCTCCGACTCCGGCCCAAATGATTCTTGCATTGTTGATCAACTCTCCCCCCATCTACTTTAAGCACAAGCATCGCTGCGTCTCCGTCTCGGATTTTGCTTACAACTCACGCATCGTAAATCCTCCGGCGGCGACCCCTCTCCAGCATCCCGCCCGCACGGGTGTAGCATGGTTGAGGGTCTAGCCTCTGTCTACGTTACAATGACAGCTTCAGGCTTCTGAGTTGTATGATGGCAACTCAAGTCGACCTCGCTAATCGGTACCCCGGTATCCCCGACACGAGAATAGACGAATAGTGTGGACATCCGTCGCCGCCTTGGCCAGTACTCTACTGAGGGCTGTAAGGACCCGATGCAACGACTTCCTTCAGCCCCAAGCCGACAAAATCTGCCAATGATGTTGAATTGTCCCTCGTTCTGAGTTACTCAGTCCTTGGACATCTGACCAACGATCGGGCTGACCTGGATCCATGCCGCGCAAAGCGCTGCATCCACACCCACACGGACAGATAGGTTCAACATGAGTACAGCGCTGCCTGCTAATGAATTTTCTGACCTCGAGTTACATGTAGGTAGGTATAATAATCGATAGCCAATGAATGCATTGCGATGAATGACGCCGATCTGTATCAGCCAACTGTGTGAGATTGCAAAGGGACAGAGATCAAGCGTTTCCAAGGTATCAGGTCCTCTTGGATCGTTAACAACCAACGCCCCAGGTTGCAGATTAGGCGTCCCAAAAAGGCTTTGTGATGTCGCCGAGGGTCCTGCATTCTGCCCAGTCGCAAAAGATGATGCATCGCAGGTGGTGGTGCCAAGATACCACTCGCGCTAGCCCCAATGAAGACTAAGGGCAAATTAACCGACTGCCACGACGAGTTCCTGCGACCATCAGAATTCCTCGCAACGGGTCTACCAGCAGCAACATCACGACAACTCGGTCCCCAACCTTGCCCACTAACACACAGGAGACCAACATCGTTCGCCATGTCTGACAAGTCTCACCGTCTCTACGTCAAGGGAAAGCACATTTCGTGAGTGGCACAGCCTGCCAGTCCACTTCAACCAAGTCCACCGCTAACAGACACACAGCTACCAGCGAGGGTACGACGACACCAACACTGCACGCACATGACACTCGGCTCACGATCAATAGAAAGCGCAACACCAACCCCGGTACCTCACTGCTCAAGCTCGAGGGTGTAGACGACTCCAAGGCAGCACAATGGTACGCCGGTAAGCGCGTAGCATGTACGTACAACCAGGCTCCACCATCACAAATATAGAAACTCGGGTGATTAATAGCTTTGCGCAGACGTCTACCGCGCTCAAAAGGCCATCCAGGGCTCCAAGATCCGCGTCATCTGGGGCAAGGTCACCCGGCCACACGGCAACAGCGGCGTCGTTCGCGCCAAGTTCAGGTCCAACCTGCCTCCCAAGTCTTTCGGTGCCTCTGTTCGCGTCATGCTGTACCCTTCTTCGATATAATTTCGCTACGACCTCTGGAGATGGGGATGATGAACGAGTGGATGGGCAATGGAGTAGTGGATGACTAGGCGCAAAAGTCGGCATACAGAACGAGAGAGAACAATGACAGAGAGATATTGCCCGAGCGAGGTCTCCTTCATATGCATGCTCAGGCTGGTTCTCGGTGTCTTTGGTTTTGGAATTCCATGACAATGGCAAGATCAATCAAGAATCCTCCCATGATCAATTCAAATACGATCAAAACTCCACCTCGATGCACAGCTTGTGACAATTGGGTTGTCGGCGGTGATTTTCTTGACGCAATGACTGGAAAGCTGTGTGCTGGGTGGGCGTAGGGATGCCAGGTACTAATGAACGTAGAGTTGGAGAATTCGCACAACGCCTGACCGTTGGGCAATCTTTACCGCCTCACATACGATCTTGCGAATTGCGACCAAAATTTTGTTGCAAGCTGGCAGACATATTCTCTACGCACACCACTCCAGCATAATCACAGCTTGTGTACTAGATGAGACGTCTAATTTCCTGGCTATTTGTGCGCCTACTGATCTCTATTAGCGCCTTTCTGGTTTCATCCACACATGACTCCGTGTATTCACTCGTTCGAATCATGTCTAACCCTGAACATTCTAGGCCATTTTGCCTCGATCCTCATTCCATCCGTCATCTTTGAGTTAGCTGCTCCACATGGCTTTCCGCTCCCGTCTATGCTGCATGTGCCACGACTCTTTTTCTTGGTATCTGGCTAGGTTAGTCATGCTGCTCAGAGTACTTGTTGTCTAAGGAGACGAATCTTGCATTCGAGGTTATGCCGTGTGTTCGTGTGAGTAGGAAAGTAAACGGTATCGCAAGTTTTTCACGGTAAGAGAGTATTACTATTATGTTGCAGTGTTGGAAGATATAGAAGGGCCGAGTCTCATCAAACAGGCATTCCGTCACTCTATTCACACCATACCAACACATCCAAATTTCGAGATGCCACCGTCATCTGCATTATCTTAAGTATTTCCAACGTCATTAATACACTTCAACATTCTTGACTGCCTTCTGAGGCCTTGTCCCTTTAGCCCATAACGCCCACCACTGCGTATATCTACAACAAGTCGCATTCCCATCATTCAGGATGATGTCCCTTGTCAGTCTCATCCTTGCCCGTAGACCTGTCCTTTGATTCCGAAGAACCCCTGGCCCGCCTCGACCTGCGTAGTCCACCCAGCCAATCCGACACCAATGGAGTAGGTGGACTAAAAACCAGAATTTCATCCTCACCATCCTCGTCCTCCGGAATTCCAGCGAGTTTGGTCACAGTATGGCGTGGCGTCCTTGGATCACACTTCACTTGGTTCATGCCCTGGCGAATCGAGACATTGGAGGTATCTCCTTTCCTTAAGGCCGCACGATGCTTGTTCAGGACCGCTTCGTCTAGGCTGACGGCCACAGTCGCGTCTGAGTCTGTTACCGACGGTGCGGGGATTCTGAGAAGGGACAGGTGTGCGTTTACTGGTGGACTGTTCTTTTCTGATTCGCCTGCTTTGGCTTCCATGTCGGTTAACCACTTTTCGGCTTTCTTTCGGTCGGCTGTGATGTCGAATTTACCTTCTTGCACCAGGTAGGGAAGGTCGAAAACTCGGTCGCATGGGGTGTCGCTGCCCACTGCTTGACCTGCGCCATCGCCTCGTGGCCCAAGGGGATTGATGACCCCAGGACTGCCATCTGTATTATCGACATCAGCCATAGCTGCCAGACGTTCCGCAACCATCTTGACGTGAGCATCTGCCGGTTCTGGCTTCTGACGCGTCGGAGTAACATCACCGGGACCAGGTGAAATGCGACTACGCTTTTCCGAAGGTGGATTCGGTTCTTCGTTCTGGGCATCCACATTACGCTTTGTCGGTGGGAACGCTTGAGCACGTCGGCGCTCGCGCACCTTCAGCATCCGTCTCAGCGGCGACTGATAAACTTCCATAGCGGAAGATTGCCATGACACTGCGCTCCGATTATCAACTCTACCGTTAGGACATGGCGAAGACATGGAAGATCGATTCCGCTTTGCAGAAAAATTACGAGCCGGGGCAGCCATCACCTGCCGTCTCCAATCTGTCGCACTCTCTTGCTCTTCCGCAGTCCTGAACTTGGACCAATGCGCTGGACGTTCGTACCTGCTCTTGCCATCTGTAAGATCCGGTAGAATCTTCATGTTGCCAAAGTAAGTTGCGAAAAACGTACTCTCACATAGCAGATCGACTGGTTTGGGGATCCGAGGGGCGTAAAAGACACACTGATTGCCACCTCGTGTCATGGAGGCGAACGCAACCAGACCCGTTCGCGCTAGGACAATGCGACCTGCCGGTACTTGACTGAAATCCGCTGGGTCGTGCATGGGAGTCGATTTGGAAATCTTTGGTGAGCCAAGGAGACTCAGTCCAAGCAGTTGTACGAACTGCGATAGCAGGGCAAGCGGAGCGTAACAGCCCTGGAGCGAAGGCTCTCCGCGAACTTCAACGAACGTGTCACAGCGACTGTTTGGATCTTGTACACATTTCACAAAGCGTTCTGGGCCGGTGAGCCGCTGGAGTTGCGTTAGGTTAAACATGTTCGAGGGAGCATGTAGAGTGACATGATGCAAAGCCTTTGACTGTAAAGTCGACTGATCCTGCTCAATGGGCGCGAGAAGTTCTTTAAACGTGCTGCACATTGAAGTTGGCAAGTTTCCACGTTTTGAAAGTGCATCTTGAAGAAAGCGAAGATGTTCAATCTTGATCAAGCCGTTGCACGGGTCCACGCAACGACTGTACTCGGTCTCGAGTGCATGACGCCAAGCTGGGAAGATTTCACAACAACTCGCGAGCCACATGAGGATTTGCTCCTCCACGAACTGGCCGTCACATCGGCCAAAGCTCAGAGGCTTAAGGACGAGAATGCTCTGCCATGGCTCTTCGATTTCACCAGCAAGGTTCTTAAACTGGGTGCAGATTTCCCGGGGCGTGGACTCCCACCGATTGTAGCGGAGTTCGTTCGTCAGGTTGTCAAAGTATGGATGGCCGAGAGTCAGATGCATCCAGGCTGTCTCGCCAATCTTGAAGGGGGGCTGTGTGCGAGTCCAGTCTTGAATCATGTCGTTGATGAGGGACTGGCGGCAAGGAGCAATGGCAACGCGCTTAGCATTATCTTTCCGACGATTCTGGCTCATCTGGAGATCGTAACGCTTTTCCTCCACCAAATCCAACAGTTTCCTATACTTTTTGGAATATTTGTCTCCGCCCTTTGCTAAAAAGTCATTAACAACGCGCTTGATAAGATCCACGTCTTCCTGCGCCGTCGCGATTTTCCTCACTAGCATTTCGTCAGACTCTGCTTCTTCGCTGGGCTTCTTACGCAGTTTCCAGATATTGCAACAGTCCTCGACAATCTCCATGGCGGTGCGGGCATCTTCGAGCATGGCTAGGCGGGATATTTCAGCACCAAGCGGAACAGATGTAGCAGCAGAATAGTCAACAAGTAACACAGTTGCAACCTTATGACCAAGAAGCCGAATTAAAACAGCGTCAAGCGTGACACTACCATGTAGAATTCCATGGAAATGCAAGAAGTCGAGGGCAGAGAAAAGTCGGCGTTGGAGCTTCGCTGCGATGAGGAAGCGATGACCTGGATGCATCTTCTGGATCTTAGATTGCATGGCTGCGTACGACATCAACCCATAATGGGTATCAGTGATGACCGCGGGGATATTGTCAATCGCCAGTTCCGCCCGATAACGCACAATAGAAGCATCTACCTGATTCCTAGCAAACTTCTGGAATTCGTTTGCTCGAAGTTGCCACCGATTCGGTGCATCGCGGAACACTTTTGCCGTGAACGTCTCACCCGTGAATCGATGCAGGACGCGATGTGATTTATGCGACACTTGTTCCTTCAAGAGAAACAAATCTCGTTGCGCCCATGGCTCTGACCGATGTGCAAATGCATTATCGATGGGACTTATCGTAGCGATATCAGTCGGGTACGCTTCTTGTACGGTCTTCAGAAGCCAAATATCAACTCGTAGTCCCCGAATTGTAAGTCGATTGACAGTGTCCTGCCTCAGGTAGACCGCACAAGGGAGCCGCTCGGGATCCTCTGGTTTACGCGCAGAAGAACACTGGATCGGCACACCGTTTACAGTAGCCAGAACAGCGCACGAATTCTGTATGCGCCAGGCGTTGGAAGCTTGAATAGGTTCCAAACGAAGGTGGAAAATGGCAGCTTGCTTGTCTGTCAGGTATATATCTCGTTTTCGTGGCATCTCGGTTTCGGCTGGCGAATCTGCTCGTCCCATAGTATAGTAAGCCTGGCCTTGGACTTTGTGTAAGAAGATGTGACAGCCTTCGAGACTGCCTCGGGTGATTCGACCGGGTCGCTGGCTGAGGATTTGGGTCATTTGATACGGAGTGTTTCGATTCGCCTTGATGGCCTCGGGGTCATGGATGGTGATGATGGCAACTAGATCATCGATGGAGACTCCAGATGGGATCGAAGGATGACCGACAGGTAAGACAGACATTTTCTTTGATACTATCGACTTTTGTCTTGACGCATAGATCTGCAATTCAGTCAAGTGGTTTGTGCTGGAACTGTATATCGTATGTTGTTTTCGAGTGATTGTCGAGGTTGAGTGTGTATTGTTATGAGAATGATAGATGAGAAGACGAATCCGCGAGCCTGTAGGCATATTTGCCAAGCTGCATCTGTTCCGCATGACCTTGATGCGTCCCTGAGTGCTGGGTGTGAAAGTAGCAAGAGTCAAACGGCCTCTGACCGTGCAAAGCAATCAATCACGTGTATGCTACAAACACTGTGGCCTTCTGCTTGGATTCAAGGGTCAAAGTCTTCGCTGATGAAAATGGTCATAAGCTTGATATCTAGGGGAGTGTGACTATTCCTGTTCGTTGGCATTGTTGCTGTTTTGGTCTTTTCTGAGCCCCTGATTTGAAGTTTTTGAGCTAGAAAGAGGACTTGAGGGATGCCGGAAGGCTGTAACTAGTACTGAGGCATATGGTTGAGTACCAATTTCCTTCAAGTCTCATTCTTTCTCATATTACCATTGCTAGGAAAGAGTGACTAATGTACACGCGCGTATATGCATATAGCACATGGTGACTTCGCAGCAATGGTCTACTACTACCTCAGAATTTTGAGTATAAACGTGGGCTTTGGGGATAGTTCAAGAAGGTTGGAAGCGAAAGATATCTATATATCTATACTAATGTGTATCTGACTTTGTCATCATCGCTTGAGTGGTCGGTCATTTGTGTCCCACTATGTAAGGTTGCGTGACAAAGAGAGATGAAACGTGGGCTTTACACCAGCTTAAGTCCAGGTTTGCCTGCCTCTACTACGGCCCATAAGCAAATTGAATCTATTAAAAACACCACGATTTTATTTGACACCCAGGTGACACACAGAACGCCTAGCTTGCTCAACTGCTTACTATGGCAGACAAGCCTTCCAGTGCCCAGAAAGGTAAAAGGATCGAAAGCTTTACGCCAGTGGCAAGTGTGCAGGACAACGACAGGGAACAGTCAGGACGGCTACAGTATAGGCTTTCATATGGGCAAGCATGGTTTGTCCATCTGACGACCGCAAACTCGCCGCTTGGGCACTATTGTACTTAGCTGCGTCTGTCAAACAAATAGATAAACCAAATAACTGACCAACCACCGTCAGACCGTCTCTACACCGCATCGCCGAGCCAATCGGCCAACCAATAAATGCGAATCACTTAATGTTAAACATTTCTCCTTCATGCATGACATAGGGCGGGGTATGGCAACATTACGAGCATTTTGTTTCGCTCTCTTACGGGGGATATCCTTGGAGTCTTTCCGGTACCATAAACGAGCTACCTAAATGTCTTATGCCTAATCTATACGACATAAATAGGAGGTGGGGAGGCTACACCCGTAACAACCAAGATCAATCTTTGCTCACTCACTCTAACATTACCTTTTTCTTCGAAAGCTCTATTGTGAACAACGCCGCAACATGGTCCATTTATGTACATTCCTTTCCGGCATCTTATTAGCCTGCGGAATCCTCGACGATTACCTAACAATAACGCGATGATAATAGCATCCTCTCACGGCAGAACGATAATCGCAACATCGCGCTAACAGCAGGTAGCATTCATCATCTACATACAACTAGTCATCATGAAGCATGAGCACCATGTCTCACTACATTGCAGTCAAACATTTTGGAGTATAATTCAAAAGTATATTTTCTGGCGATAGAATTATCGCAGCAAGCCTTGTGCTGTTAAAGAAGGTAAAATGCTGAGCGTGTCAAGAAGTGAATAAAGTGGTGTGAAAAGAAGCGAAGCATCGACATGATCTATCCTTATCATCAAGATATAAACCTCGGCCTGCGGAGAAAAAAGGGGAGCGCAGGACCTCGTGGAAGTGGTGAGTGGGTCCACCACTACCACATCACATACATGATTCTCTTTCTAAGAGGAGAAGTTGCTGCCCGCAGACTTGGTGGTCTGCGCCGCAATGCTAACATCCTTGACAGTGATCACCTTGCCGCCCACGCTGGTAATCTTGATATCAACGCTGTCTGTGCCAAAGCCAGATTGAAACTCGAAGAAGTTGTACGGCTTGCGCTCCGTGCCCCTCCAGGTCCTACCGCCGTCGGTCGAGACCTCAAGCTTGGTCACGCGAACGTTGGAGTTCATGACCTGCATACTGAACCACCACCTGCTAGTGCCCTCCTTGTTCTTGAGAATGATAGGGGACGTGATGCCACAGGGCACAAACTCCCAAGACACGGGGATGACGCCCCTGTTAGGGTTGTCAAGCTTGGCGAAGGCATCGGGGAAGAGGTCCAAATGGTTGGGGCCGCATCCGGGGCATTGGTCAACGACCATGGCTGTGATCTTGTTACCCCTGGGACCGGTTACGGAAACACAGGATCCGCAGCTGTTCGCGCCAGCCCAGTTGCTGTCGGAGAGGGCGGTTCCATAGAGATTGGAGGGAATGGTGTAGCCGGTGAAGGAGCACATGCCACCAGCCACATTTCCGCCGTAGAAGGTTGCCTGACCGCTGAGTCTAGAGACACTCATGGTGGGATCAGAGGTGGATGAAGAGGTAGGCGAAGAGGTGGGCAATGAAGGAGGTGAAGGAGTAGGCGACGAAAGAAATGAAGATGTAAGTGAAGAGCTAGAAGAAGAAGCCGTAGATGATGATGATGATGAGCTCAAGGTGGTTGCAGGCCTCGTGGAATTGCTGTATGGTGGAAGAGCGGATGGTCGACGGGTAATGGTCGTTGTGATATGTATAGTGCTCGTCGTCGTGATATTTATGGCCTCTGGACCTGTAACACCTGCACTCGGTGTAGTTACCACACTTGGAGTGGTTGCAATAGGGTTTGGTGCATCCACTGTAATGTAAACCTTCTCAGTAGTGGTTGTGGTTACAATTCTCCGTGAGCAGACACTAGACGGCGTCGCGACGTCGACAACAGGACTAACGGTCGGAACAGTCCTATAAACGGTGTGACGATCTGTGCTAGTCAATGTCTTTCGGGGACAGACAGATTTAGCAACAGTAACACCCGCAAGGGGCAAGAGTGTGAAGAGGTAAGACTTCATGTTGTTGACTCGAGCTGGCTATTTTTTCTTGCAGTAGACGGACGATGTAGAAATTTACACTTCAAAGAAGAGAGTTCGGATTCACAGAAGAATTCGAATCCGCAGGTGAGAGTTCGAATCAACGAACCTAAAGAATGACAATGTAGGGAACGGAAGCAGCACTATGGCTTGCAGAATGAGTGACTGAGCTTGAAGTGCAAGATGAAGGCTAAGCTTACCACGATACGAGCGTACCTGCACCTCTACAAGTACTCCTACAGGCTGGACTAGACCGTAATTTAACTGAGCCGCGGGAGGTCCCTGTGGAAATTTGCTCGGATGTAATCATACACCCCAATTTCATGTTCATCTGCAGCGGCGCGGGGCGCGAGATGGCTTCTTTTCGAGACATGCAAGCCGCAACCCTCAGCATCACATGTTCTGAGTAGACACTAGACTACATGGTATGTAGGGATTCATGAGTCTAGACTGTCGTTTTCGTTGCTTGTGCGATCCCTCGTATTTGGGTTGTCGTGGGCTGGTACTATGTACCTAGTAGGCGTCTATGATGAGGCCCGGGGAGCAGGAGGCGCTAAGAGAAGATCAAACATGACTGAAATGACCAGGCGGGAACACAACAGCTGATGCAGAAAATTCCGACGATGCAATCGAGAGCATTGGAAGGCAATGTGCAGCACGGCGGAGAATTAAAATCTCAGACATGATTGTCTAGTTCTGAGCTTGTGTCTGCAAAAGAACCGTAGACAGTCCGGACATGGAGAAGTTGTGGGTTGTCGTTTCGGGAGTGCCGTTTCGGATGAAAGAGATTGTTTGCTGCACGACGGGGCGCAATCTGTGGGGGGCCTAGGGGCTATTTTCCTACCAACATTCCATCCAGGTGATGTGAGGGCTTTGACCATTGCGATTCATATTTCGGCCCTTTTCTAAGGTGCCAATGAAATAGCCACGTTCGGCACACATTGGCATGCAGACAAAGACAACACTTGATCTCAAGTAGTGGCATGGCCGGCGCTTATCAAGAAGTTTTCATGCTCTCCCAACGCTGTGCACCTTTGACAAGCCTGAGGAGCCTCGGACAAAAACTTGCCATACAGTTTTTGTGCCCTCTCACATCCTGTCTATCCGTATCGTTCCTCAATATCCCTGCCGACGCTCTGGAAGCGGAAGGTTGTCCTTGTAGTCTTGGAGGCGATGTATTTATAATCCTCCTTGACGAGCTATACGAATGGTAAATAGTACTAGCAGTTCCAAAAGGCTATTCCAATTGACCAGGAGCAGCCTTCTGTTGCCACAACTGTTTACCGCCGAATCTTAAGATATTAGTGCCTGCACCCGGGCGTGTGTGAATGTATTGAAACTATCATTCCACGACGATAGTAAAGTTATTCATGGTTGGTTTGTCCCTGATTTTCTTCTTTTGGAATTGGGTAGGCGTAGTCTCATCAGTCAGGATGAATAAGTAGTAGCAAAGCTTTGGGGTGTGCTTGTTGTATCTCATGGTAAAGCCCAATTTCGTCATGATTCGTAACAGTAGGTCTTCATCGAAGTATCGAGAATTGTCAATACAGGGTCGTGGTAAGACGAAGAACAGTGCTGGCAGAATAGTCGACGAAGTTTGGGTTTGTGCGATTGGTTTCCTCAGAAATCTTGTGATGCGTTTCAGCATCTCTCCTCGACCGGCTGCGTCCGGAACATAGTTCAATACCAAAGAGAGAGAAACGATGTCAAAACTTTCATCTGTATTCGACGGAAGTGGCCGCTCCATGAAATCCTGTTTTTCGATCCCAGGACCTTGGCTGTTGAGATCGATCCTGTGCATGTCGATTATGCTTGGGAACCGGGATATTTCATTCTTGGTGGAAAGTGCACCAACTTCCAGACACCTGAGAGGTATTGCCTGAGAAGTTTTCCTATCTCTCGCTTTAGGGTCAAGGACTCGGGCCTGTACAAGCCACTCGACAAGAACTTTGCTAGAATCGCCGCCTCGATCCTTCGCCTGGCCTTGTTTGCTGGCAGCTTGATACAGTTTGATGCCTCCATTTTCTTCAATTTTCCGAGAAATGATGGTCGCCTTTGCCAGATCTCCGCTTTTTATTGCTGCCGCATGCTCTTTCTGCAGCGTGTGATGGGTTCGGATTATAGTACGGGATCGTTCTGCTGTCATGCGCTCTTTGGGCCGACTGATCGGTGGACGCCCATGCGACAGCGTCTTCTTCCGTCTCTGGACAGCCATGATACCTTTCTTTGGCGTTCGAATCACATGTTGCAGATGTTGATGCTGGGTGGGTCAGTGAAAAGACGCCCAGACTTTGGTGACGGATGTTTAGTTAGGCGCTAGCGCTCATTGGCTCGTTAACCGACCGCACCTTCAGCCAGAGGACGATTTTTCTATTGCGAACTTCTTCAGCCTCGACTCAACCAACGACAGGACCACCAGACCGCCAAAATGGGACCCAAGCCAGCCTCCAAGAGTACGTTCACGCCTATTCTCCTCCATGGACCGATTGAAGACGCAATGCGCGCATATCAGTGTCGCTCCACGGCCTGTGATGTGGAGGGACACGTCGAATGCGCTCTTCTATGGATCAATTTATATCCTATATCATCACGTCCGAACAAAAGCAGTCACTGACATTTCTGTAGCCGCCACCAAGACTGGCAAGCAGGCCAATGCCGCTGCCAAAGCAGCCCTCCGTGGCGTAAGCCTCCCCTGATATTCTTGAGTCGTGTCAGAAACATACCTCTGACGGGCTGTTCTTCTCGTGTGATGGGCACAATTAACGAGATGACAGTCGTATGCGAACAAGAAGAAGGCTATCAGGAAGAGCACTAGCTTCCACCGGTATGTGCAATGCATTTGCATGAGGCATGATGAGGCTAACAAACTACAGTCCCAAGACCCTCGAGCTCAGCCGTGCGGGCAAGTACCCCCGCAAGTCGGTCCCCCACGAGCCTCGCATGGATGCTTCCAAGGTCCTCATCCACCCGCTCAACACCGAGTCTGCCATGAAGAAGGTACGTGAAGACGTCTGGAATCCACAATGCGCACGGAGACTGACGCTATCATAGATCGAGGAGAACAACACCCTCGTCTTCATCGTCAACGTCAAGGCCAACAAGCGCCAAATCGCCGCCGCTCTTAAGAAGCAGTACGACGTCAGCTGCGTCAAGATCAACACCCTCATCCGACCAGATGGCTCAAAGAAGGCCTTTGCCCGCCTTACCGCTGATGTCGACGCTCTCGACATTGCGGCTACCAAGCTCGCCATTGTTTAAAGAGGTCGTGAGATAAGAGGCATGGTCACGATTGGTTCTGGTTATACCCGGAAAAAAGCGATGTGTTATGCATGGCAGGCGTTCATGGATACGTAGTCACAGTGACTCGAATGAATCAGATTTCCACATGACGCCATCAGTTGGTTAATCTCAAAACACTTTGACTGATGTTGAATTCTGTGTGAAATTCTGTGTGATAATCTTTGTCCCCGTGAAGAGATATTTTAGTGAAGTTGAATTTATACGTCATGTTCGTTATCCCATCATGAGAGAATTTTCTATACATGTTTCATGGTCTTAATGTCCAAGAATCGCCGCATGTTCAACCCAGAGCAGCGTAACTCAATGTCCAGCACACATTGACATTTGTCAGGAAGCAGCATCCCCCGCTCCAACCACAAGCTCCACACCCATCGCGAGTCCAATATCGTACACATCATGCAGCCTCACCACCCCCATTCCCCCTCTTTCTCCTCCTCCTCCTCCTCCTCCTAGCCCCTCAGCTTCTCCAACTCCCTCAGTATAATCATATTCCCATCCATGAACCGATCCACACACTGCCTCAAGCACGGCTCCTCGTACTTGTCCAGCTTCCCCGTCTTGATGCCGCCCGCGGGGATACACTTGCGGAAGCAGGTATCGGTGAGGCCGTGTATCGCTGAATGTGATTTGTGGTTAGAATTGGTTTTGAGTGGGGAGGGTTGGTGGGGGGAGAGGAAGGGAGAGGAAGGAAAGAGAAAAGGAAAAGGGAAAAGTGTGGCATCCCAAACACCGCAAGACAAGAAAACCAGGACAGTTCAGTCATGATAAGGCACCACACCGAGGATTGATTTCCAAAGAAAACATTGCTGCAAGAACTTACAATTCTGAATCCTGCTCTTCTGTCCCTCACTCGCTGCAAACTGCTGCAGCTCTTGCTTGTCGCTCTCTGAGAGCCGGCTGAGTGCGGCGTCGGAGATGGCGGACATTGTGGGTATATGTGTGTGTTTATATACGTGTGTTTGCGTGTGTATGTCTCTCTCTTTGCGTACTCCAGATGTGAGGTATACCGTGTTCGTATCGGTCCTGTACCTATCTCCCGTCGTCGTATTTCCGTACGCGTATCTGTATCCGTCCTATCGTGCGTGGATGGCTGGTTGGCAAAGTATATGTAGATGTAGATGTTGAGCAACACCCGAGCTGGGGAATTTCTTGACCTGCATCAAAAGACGCAACGGCTGTGATTGGGGCGGGAAGTGCCGATGTGGGGGTGGTTAGTCAGCTTTACTATTACCGTTGTATGGTTGAATTGGGATGGTGGTGGATCCGGGTGGAGGAGGAAAGGTCATGGAGAGATACTAGTAGTTCGAGGGTAGGGAAGGAAGGGGCGTGATTGTACAAGGCCTTGTGTGGACTTTGAAGTGTGGGTTATACTCTAGGAGTCTGTTTCGATGAACAGTATCTTATTACAGCTACCTACTGTACCAATAGATCCATTGCTAACCAAACATGCCGCTCCCATACCGTACCTACTTACCTTACCTACTCTACCCATTATCATTGCCTTCAAGCATGCAAAGCATCCACACATCCTACATAAACGCGCCAGCTCCGACTCCCTTTGCATTTACCAACCCGACCGCGTAGAAAACTCCAGCACAATGTAAACTAACCGTGCGATGCGCAGAACCCCGGAAGTAAGCATCTGATTCTCAGTCCAATGTCCTGATTAGGCAAGCCTGCGACACGCTAGATCCACCGCATATGCACGCTCTTCGCCAAGTACAGGCCCATTTTTGCTCAGAGCATGTGTGGTGTATATTTATAAGAGTGCGCCTGCTGCCGTTCCCAGAGGGTTGGTGGGGTCCTTGGGTTCTTTTCTTTTCCTTCTCTCTGTTTCCGTGCTGGAGCCTGGGAGGTAGGATGAGAGGAAGGCTGCATGTTCCGGGTTGGTATTGCTTCCAACCCTCCTCATCGTATTATCCTGGGTGTATTGCTCTACGCTCCTGGTCAGCCGTAGATTTTAACCTTGCCCTTCTAAGGATACTTACTAACAAGCTGTAGTTCAATATTTTCAAACTATCAAATCCACGGCAACCGAACCTACCCTTGGCCTAGTTGCACTGTTGCATTTCTGCTGTCACTCCTCGACCCAGCCGTCAGAGTTTTAATGCTTTGACGTGCCATGAACCGCTGATCCAATCTCTCGCACGATGCCTATCCGATCTTCGAGGATTTGACTATCTTTGCGGCACGAAGTCGTTCCATGTGTAAAGAGTGGTCTTGTCGTGTTCTGCATTCGCAATCCAGCCCGAATCTGACTCTCGGGCATCCTTGTATATGGGGTGCTTGTCTCCCACAAGACTCCTTCGCTTCTCACATGACCAGCACCTTGGATAGCTCTGACAGGCATTGCGTCCATCTCTGATTCCCTTTTCTCGACCAGATCCTCTCCAGGCTCTGCACGCCCAGCGGGATATTTCTAAATTTTGTCCGTTCGTAAATGGCCAGCATGTAATCCACAAAGAACTGCCGCTGCTGCGGATCCGACGTCTCAGCCGCCGCAACGAAGCAGGCCCAGATCAGGGTGTGAGCTCCAGGCGCGGTAGGAGGGATCTGAGATATGAGGGTAATCAGGTCCTGTATAGCCGAATGCTGAGAGGAGTCGCCGATAGGGGACGGTGTCGGGTCATCGTTGAGTTCGGTGGTTGCTCGATGGATGTAAATCTCAGAGGCCAAAGTAAAACACCGCCGAAGGTTTCGCATGATGTCTACTTCCTCTGAACCGGTGGGAAGTTGCTCATACGTAGGCGTCAACCAACTAGTCATGGATTGGTAAGACTCCATTACAGTGAGTACACCTCTATCCTCGCCTAATTGGGGGATACCAAAGTATCTGAAACTGAGGTAGAGCGCGTCAACATCCGCATTGTTGACAATCTTGATCTGCTTACTCACATGTTCGTTTGTGCCTCTAAGAACTCTAAAGCATCGGTCTTTTCGTGATTGGCCGTAATGTTCGTGGATAGACAGAGGAGCATGTGCACCAAGAAGCTATAATCCGCACTTCCCGTAACCGTTTCACCGACGAGCAGTACTATCAGCGTTGCCCACGTGTAGGCGTTAAAGACTTGGTCTGCAGGGCTATAAAGAGACTCTCTTCGCAGCCGAGAGATGATCGCCGAGCGCCCTGCTTCTGCAGCATCTGCGAGCTCTGGTTGCTCGCGACTGAGATGCTGCGCAGCGACGACGCCAACTGCTCGGCGGAGAACATCATTCTCAACCGCCATTGGCAGAATGAATTCTCGGTAACCATTTGGTACCGTGTCAAAGACTACCATTACAGGCGCTACCGCATCGGAAACTGGTTTGGAGTGAGCAAGGTGTGTCAAAGAGAGATCAGCCATCTTACAGTGTGAGAATAGCATTCGTGCTTCCGAGCCAAGAGGAGCTATCCAGGGCTGGATGCTAGAAGCAACTGAACGGCTCAATAACATCTGAGTGTCGTCTCGGACTATCTCTACAACATCATCGTCTTCATCTCCTTTGAAGTCCCCAGAGGCAGTCGGCGAAGCAAATACTTCACGATCCTCATTGCTCAGAATAGATGGAGAATCTGCAGGCCAACCGATGTCGAACTCGTCGTTCTCGCTCTTTCTCCTCCTCTTTTTCCTTGTCGTTTTCTTTTGCTCATTCTTCCATCTCACTTGACCGTAGCCCACATTGGCTGGTAAGGTCTCCTTGGCTGGGTCGTTCTTTCTAACAGGCACCTTGAGGCCTTTGAGCTGCCCACGTCTCGCCACGCCCTCGGCGAAACGTATCCTGCCCAGACCTGAGCACTCGATACCTTTCTTAGTGCATTTCTGGCAAGTGGGTTCACCCCGATCACAGATGATTCTGCGACGAGAGCATTGGAAGCAGCCTATACCCGAGTCAGCCGCTGTTCCATTCCTTGTGGGATGACCACATGGAGCCGTGTGCATAGACTGACCGCGATTCTTCGGCAATGTCTTACCATCCCCGCTTGGTGCAGGAGACGGTATTGCTGATCCGTGCGACATACTCGCTATACCACGTTACGAAAAATCACCTCAAACCGCCGAAGAGCAGGGCTCCAAAGTCAGAGTGGGCACATAAAGGTTCGTTTCGCCAGCTGAGTGGGGATGGTATCGGACCGAGCCTGGTTAGTTGGGGGTTGCTGTGTTATGTAAGCCGACAAATACGGTGATTAATACCAAGAATACCGTATCGCAAGAAAGTCGTACTAGTATGCCACTCACACAATATGAGCACGCGAAGGATCATTGGAAAGCATATTGTTTATTCAGCTGAGCACAAGCGATAGACTAGCCGACGCATACGCAAGTAAAACGGTCTGTCGATCCTTCTTCCACCTAGAATTGCACTAGAGGAATTTCGCAAAGTGAATACTTGACCAGTGGCCATTCCTGAAGTCCCATTGTAGAAGTCATGATTGCCGCTAACAGAAGAGCTTCAGCCTCTATGAGGAAGAGCAGTAGTTCACGGGACTGCTGCCTCTCCAAATGAAGCGAGACGGGTCGTGGTAAGAATGGTAGTTCGTCACCTACATCATGGTTAGCAGGGCTTGATAGTTCGCTTGATAGCTTCCAACGTACATTGCAAACCCTCCGTAAGCACTCCCATGGCTCCTTTACAATCTGGAGAGGCGAAGTGTCGTTGTTTCGACAGCTCCGGTCTGGCTGCCGGACGCGTCATTTTGACGGTGCACGCGGGCAGCGGACGTTCCTTCACTCGACGCGTGGAGTGGGGACGCTACCTCGCAGTCAGCGAGGGCGCACAACCGTCAATCATCGTAGAACTCGTCTTCATCATCGTCGAATTCCTGCAGTTGTTCAAAGTTGAGTGCGTAGCGGAGAATGGCGCCGATGCCACCAAAGCCTTTGACGAACTGGTTGCCCTCGGAGGACCGGTCGGAAACAAACTCAAGGGTAGCACCAAAGTCGCGGTACTTCTCGGCCAGCCATTCAAGCATAGAGCCCTGATCAACGACTTCCATCTCCTGTCCAGTTTCCTTGTCCATGAAGAGACTGCGATCTTGTTCTTGCGCCTTGGTTGTGTGGAGGATAATCTCCGTGCCCGCAGAACTCTTGAGCACCCAGCGCGTGATTTCTAGGTTCTCGAAGACGATCAAAGTCTCGGCCGCGCCAGCCTCCAAAGCCTTGAGGGTATCATCGATACCGTAGCAGACCTTGCCCGAGTCCATGGAGATGTGGTCAAAATACGTGTTGATGAGCTTCTTCTCCTGGATAAACTTGACGTTGCTGAGCGTCTCACCCGCGAGTTCAATGGCCTGGTTGAAGCCGTTCTCACCGCCGTAAGACACGTCGACGACCTTGATGACCTTGGACTGCAGACGGTTGTCAAACAAGTCGGACTGGTTCAAGTCGTTCTTGAAGTCGGCGGAACCAGCCAGAATGATGCCGGCTACGTTGACCTTGTCTGCCGTGACAAAGTTTTGCACTGCCAACTCGGCTACCTTGCGGACGTAGTTGTGGCGCTTCTCCTCACGCAGACGGGCAAAACGCAGGGCGGACTGACCACCACGACCGTGCTTCTTGGGCAAATCGACAGAGAACCTGGATGCGTGAGCGGGTGTGGCCTTGATACTTGTGGGTGGGCATGCTCACTTGTGGACAATCTCACGGGTGTTGCCAGAGAGGGTGCCGAACAAGGCTCCGTTACCATCCATGATGATGAAGCCGAACTTCTGGTCCGACTCGAGCAGCTCGCTCAGGGCCTCGGTATGGAACTTGTTGTCACAGAGGTATAGCGAGGTGTTGATGGGCTTGAAGGGTTCAAAGTCGATGTTGATCTTGCGCTCCTTGCCTTCTGCGGTGATGATTTCACCACAGTAGACAACGAGGCCATTGGGCGGGACCTTGGAGTACAGCTTCAGGCGCTGCTGGGTCGACGTGATGGCCGAAAGGACGGAGAGGCGGTTGACGCGGGACTTGATGTTGGAGGCAGTGCCCTAGTCATGCGTGTCAGTTTGCTTTGGATGCAGGCGCACGAGCGAGGGGTGGTGCTGTGCAGGCAGGTCATGGACATACGAATTCTTCTGCCAACATCTTTGCCGCGCGCGAAACCTGGTCCTTTGGGGCTGCACATGGTGAGTCGGGTTGGTCTTTCGCTGGATGAGCAGGAGCCAAGAGTGGCACATACGAATAATGAGGGAGATCATGGAGGTGCCATTTCCACGGGCGGCTTCAAGACGCTTGATCAGCTTCTTGACCTTCCAGATCTCAATATTCTTCTCAGCCTCGTTGGGCTGCGGCTCCTTGGACGACATGGCCGCGGTGGGGGGGGGGGGTTGGTTGTGGTGGTGGTGTTCAAAGAACAATGAGGTTGGGGAGTGGGGGCTCTAAATTTTCCCTGTGCAGGTTGTGCAGCGGAGGGGCAGGTGACGAACTGGGAGGCACAGCAGAAGCACAGCACAGCACAGCACAGCACAGGGGACACACGCACACACACACACCACAGCACTGGCGGGTACGGTAGGTAGCCGAACCTGTGGCGCGATTTCCGGGGGTGGCTGCTCTGCCTTGTCTTACACGGCACACGGTACGCTATACGGCAACGTTCACTGCTGCAAAGGTCTGCAGGCTGCAGTGGGAGAGGGAGAGGAAGAGAGAATTGGAGAATTGTGCACAGTAGCGGTGGAGCACCAGTTGATCTGCATGCACGTACGGTACGGTGCGGTACCCTTCTTACAGTGTGTGTCGAGGGGGTTTAGATCTGATTTTGCCCCAAACACTTCAACTGTGAACACCGTGTGGGAGAGAAGGCCATGGCTGCTGCATTGCATGTGCACTCTGTCTGGGCCTTGCATTGGCTGGCTGCCGACGATGACGCTGATTGTGCGGGGGTTTTTGCTGGGGCGGCCATTTGTCCGCTCATCGTGGGTTTTGGCTGCCAGAACCCAGTAGCTTCCATGGCTGGTCATGCTATCTGTTCTACTAGGTACAGTCCATACCGCCCATCATGCCATAACTGGCGCTTGAATACACAACTAACCCACTCACCCTCCAGCTCGACCCGGCCATGGCGATAAGGTGCACGCGACCTCTGCCGCCGCCAATCTCCCGCCCCGACGATAGCCACCCGTGAAAACCAAGTAGCTTCCAGCCCCTGCAGGGTTTCCAGTGAACAAGATTCAATCCATTGACTACTATTACTACATAACCGCCTCTCCCACCAGCTCCTTCCTTTGCTCCCCCTCCGTCTGCACTTTTGCGCTCGTCTGCTTCCGCCTGACGCCTGACGCTGCCTGAACCGTGAACTGACCCCTTGACCCGCCATGGACTCGTCCCCAGGAAAGCAGCCATCGAGATGGGATGATTACGAGGCTGGCCAGAGTGACGCAGTCGAGTCTGATGCAGGAAGCCATGTTCAGTGGGACCAGCTCGAGAGACGCCCCAGCGAAGAGAGTGTGGCTGGCACAGGCAGATGGACGGGCACAGTTGGCGAGCTTCGACGACGCAGGTAGGCACCACCAAGAGCAGCAGCAACAGCAACAGCAACAGCAACAGCAACAGCAGAGGCAGGGGTAATACCCAGCTGCTACTACGAGCGCAGGAGTCACCCAGCGGCTACATCGAGCCAGTCGGGCCGTCTGACTTGCTCACTTGGCCTGCCTACCTACCCACCCACCTACCTATAAAGTATACTCGTCCGCTAACATGCGATTTCTAGATCCTCCCTATCGCAGCAAATCGGCGCCCTGGGTGAAGTCGGTGGTGTCAACAGCATCAACAATTTCGCCCGCTCCTGGCAGCGTGCAGCCGGCTTCTTCGAAATCACCCCCGTGCGCCCCTCCTTCCGTGTCGAAAGCGAAGGCGATGACAACGACGTAGAAGAATCGGACTTTTCGCGCAGTGGACTGCCCACACCCATCACAGACCAGCGATCGGCTTTGCGACAGGCCCTACAAGATGGTGGAAGACGCGCCTCAGACAACGCAGTCCACGATGAGGAGCAGGGAGCGACCGAGGAGACACATCTGCTACCCAATGGAGTCAGCCAACAAATGAAACAAAGAGGGTCCAGCATATTCCAGGTCGAGCCTTCGCTCTCCTCGCCTTTTGGGGGCAGCTACGGGACGGGCTATGGCAGCCTTTCGGCCCGCGTCAACGACTCGTCGATGCGCCATGCTGGGAGGCTGTTTGCTGACCAACAGCTAAAGGGCGTCGCCGAGCCAGAGCAGGAACGAGAGCCCCTCTTGGTCAAGCAAATTGAGGAAGACGGCCACATTGTCCATGTCGTCGTTGGCCAGTCTACGCTGCCGCAGACCATCTTCAACTCGGTCAACGTCTTGGTCGGCGTTGGCCTACTCACCCTTCCATTAGCTCTCAAATATTCGGGTTGGCTGATTGGCATGATTTTCCTGGCATGGTCTGCCGTTGTCACTTCGTATACAGCCAAGCTGCTTGCAAAGTGCTTGGACGTGGACAGCTCGCTCATCACCTTTGCAGATCTGGCCTATGTCTCGTTTGGCAACAAGGCCAGAATAGCCGTGAGCATGCTCTTCTCGCTCGAACTGCTAGCTGCATGTGTTGCGCTGGTAGTGCTGTTTGCAGATAGCATGGATGCTCTGATTCCTGGCTGGGATCTCCTGACATGGAAGATTGTCTGTGGTCTTATTCTAATACCGCTGAGCTTTCTGCCCCTGCGTTTCCTATCATTCACGTCCATCTTGGGCGTCATGTCCTGCTTTGGGAGTGAGTAGACGATTCTCGTGTCGCAAGAGCACTGCTGACAGTATCTAGTCTTGCTTGCTGTATGCGTCGATGGCCTAATCAAGCCTGATGCGCCAGGCTCCATTCGCCAGCCTATGAAGCAGTATCTTTTCCCGGAGAACTGGATGACGATTCCCCTCTCGCTCGGTCTCCTCATGTCTCCGTGGGGCGGCCACTCCGTCTTCCCCAACATCTACCGCGACATGCGTCACCCATACAAGTACCGTAAAGCCGTCGACGTCACCTACGTCTTCACCTACTTGATCGACACCGGCATGGCTTGCGCAGGCATTCTCATGTTCGGTGATGGTGTCCGTGAGGAGATAACAAACAACATCTTCCTCACCAAGGGCTACCCTCCGAGCATCTCGGTATTCATCGCTGTTTGCATTGCCATCATCCCCCTGACAAAGGTGCCTTTGAACTCCAGGCCTATTGTGAGCACCCTCGAAGTCCTCTTTGGTCTCGATACCCGCTCCCTTGCCGCTGCATCCTCACTAAACGGCATGTCTGGTCTCAACCGTGGTCTTTTCAAAATCTTCCTACGCATTGGCACCATCGTCGTCTTTGTCATCATTGCCATTGTTTTCCCGTCCTTTGACCGCATCATGACGCTTCTTGGCAGTGTCGCTTGTTTTTCTATTTGCATTATTCTACCGTTGGCGTTCCACCTCAAACTCTTTGGCAAGGAAATTTCGCCGGGAGAGAAGATGATGAACTGGGTTTTGATTGTGGCTAGTATCATCATGGCCGTCGTCAGCACCGTCTTTGCTTGTATACCCAAGGAGCTTATTGGCGCATAAAGGCAGCTTGTGGAGGCCCCTGCGCGTGCAGCGTAGGAAAAGCGATTGTTTACGGACGACTTGTTTGATGGTTGAATTTTGTTTGGCCATTGTAGGCATACATTGGCAAAGGCGCATATTGTTGCATTTGGCGGTATCTAGTTTTGTTCAGTAAATCGTACGGTATTAATGAATACTACGTGACTAATTATAGGAAAGGAGACATTTTCTTTCAAACAAGAAAAACACGCCTAGACTTTATAACTAACCGTATATCTCAACTTGATACCCACTCCCCTTCAATCTCATCCAAAATATTTCCAACCTTTGCATCCTGTTTTTCTTCCCAAGTAAACTCAATACCCAGTTCAGGGCCGATCACTTACCGGGACCAACTTGCTTTAGTTAGCTTCCGAAATCAAGGGTGCCGATGCCGGTTTACATCTACATATCCAAACGTCCACTTGATACTTATCCACCTACCCACGCAGCCATTGACAAGGAGGCAATTTGAGCATGGCGGGAGATGAAAGCGCTGCTGGTGCGGATGCGGGTGCTGTGGTGGTTGTTGCTTATCTAGGGCCTGAGGGGAGTTATACACATCAGGTATGGGTTTTTGATTCCTTGATTCCTATTTTTTTTCGGTTTGGATTTTCTGGCGTTTGCGTGTCTTTTACTATGGAGTTTTTCGATTCAGAGGGGTCTCGGCGTGGTTAAGGTAGGATGGCTCGCGTGTTTGGGGTTGGTGGTGTGTTGGTGGTGTATTCGTGTATTTCTATCGGGTTTTCTTTTCACCATGTCAGCTTCATATGTTGAGTTCTTCGTTTTTCTGTTTTCTCGGTGTATACATATACACATATACGCACATACACATCACTCAATCCCCATCCATTCCCCACAACTAACCCCCCACCCCAACCCAGGCCGCCCTCTCCGCCTTTCCCCCAAACACCACCGCCACCAACACCAACAACACCAACAACAACACCACCAACAACAACAACACCAACAACAACAATGCTATCCGTCTATCCCCCCAACGCACCATCCCCGACATCTTCAACGCCGTGCAATCCGGTACCGCGGCCAGGGGCGTCGTACCGTTTGAAAACAGCTCGAATGGCAGCGTCGTCTTCACACTGGACCTCTTCGCCGATATCGAGGGCAAGTATCCAGATATAGAAGTTTGCGACGAAGCCTATGTCGAAGTCAAACATTGTCTTTTAGGACACGCGCCTCAGCTGCGTTCAGTCGATGCACTGGATACTACAACCGCACCAGAACCTGGCGAAGATGGTACACTTTCACGTTCAAGTACAAGTACAACCCCACCACCCCACCCAGACCTCACAAAAATCCAAACCCTCTACTCCCACCCCCAGGCCTGGGGCCAATGCACTCGATTCCTCACCACACATCTCCCACACACCACACGCCACGACGTCTCCTCGACCTCGGCCGCCGCCGCCCTCGTCGCCCAGGATCCCTCTGGTACCAGCGCGGCGCTGTCTTCCCGCATCGCCGCCGACCTGTTTGGCCTCGATGTGCTAGCGAGCGCGGGCGTGAACGATTCCGTGGGAAACACAACGCGGTTCTTGGTTATTCGACGGAGAATGCATGGTGTCCTCTCTTTTGCACCAGTCTATTCCCCAACTGGAATTCAAACTCCACCACAGCCTCAACCTCGACCCCCAAATCCAAATCCATCTCCAAATCCATCTCCACTTCCCCAACGCGCCCCCGCACCCCACCCATCCCGCTATAAATCCCTCGTCACATTTACGCCAAACGACTCGTCTGCGCCCGGCGCCCTGGCCGCCTGTCTCGCTCCGTTTTCTACGCGCGGTATCAATTTGACGAGTATTAGTACGAGGCCGGCTGGGGTGCGGAATTGGTCGTATGTGTTTTTTGTTGAGTTTGAGGGGGGGTATGGGGAGGAGGGGGAGGAGGTGGGAGGTGGAGGTGGTGGGGAAGGGGAGGCAAGGAGGCAAGGAGGCAAAGATGAACAAGAGGGGCAAAATGTTAAAGAGGCGTTGAGAGAGTTGGGTAGTGTGTGTAGGAGGTTTAGATGGTTGGGGAGTTGGGTGGATAGGACGCCGAGGGATGATGGTGTTTGAGGCGGAGGCGGAGGTTGTGGTTGCAGTTGGGGTATGAGATAGCTTCATCCAGTCTCCATGGTCAAGTGGAGAAGAACTCTGCAAGGTAAATGCGAGGCTTGTGTATGTGTATATTCATCTAGCAAGCGCAATTCCACTCAAGTCAAGACAAGACGCGATGCGATGCAATAGCAAACTTGAATTATCCCAATGAACATGTAATTTCTTTAACAGCTTAGCTATACTCCAAAGCTTCCATCTTCATCTTTATCTACCCCCTCCCCTCCCCATCAACAAAGCACAAATCACAAATCACAGTTTATGCTCTTCCATCTCCTCTCCACCAGCCACCTCCCTCATCCATCCACGCCACACCAAACACGCTCCCAATCTCAGCCTCCTACTTTGTCTGTATAGGAAGCGCCTTCTCCTCCTTGGACTGTTTCCACTCCTTGACAAACGGCAAAAACTCAGGTTGGCTGGGGATATATTTCCGTAGGACCGAAGGGACCGTGAAGCCATCTGGGGTCTGGTAGTTTTCAAGGATGCAGCAGAGTGTTCGTTCAGTGGCGCAGACTATTATTTGTGAGGGAGGGTGACTCGTTAGCTTGTCTGTTTTGGAAACTCTTCTTTTCCACAGTAGGGGGGAGGATTTTATATAGAAAAGGAAGACGTACGTGTACCGTTCAGCGCGTGAACGTATTCTTTCCGTGTGGCATTCAGCTTCTTGGCACCGTGGCGGATCTCGAGTTCGCGGGTCTGGTAGTCGGTGCAGTTGGAGATGGAGACGAGTTCCTTGTACTCGCCGCCGCCGGTGACGGGGAACCAGGCTTCGAGATCGCGCTTCATGGCTGCTGCATTATCTGTCTGCTGTGTTAGCTGTAAATTCCTCCCCATTCTTGTATTGCTGCCGATACATACTCAACGCTCCAGATACAATGGCAACGACCTGGTACGGCAGTCCCAGACTCTGGTAGAATTCCTCCGAGGTAGCAAGCATCTCGTCAAACGCCTCCCACGACTTCTCCGGATGGGTGAGGAGGAATTGCTCCACCTTTTCAAACTGGTGTATCCGGAAGATGCCCCACGCGTCCTTTCCATGTGAACCAGCCTCTTTGCGGAAGTTGGTCGAGTAGCCGGCGTACTTGATGGGCAAGTCCTCGGCCTGCAGCCACTCCTCGCTATGCAGACCTGAAAGTGGCTGTTCCGAGGTGGCGATGAGATACTTGTCCGTCTCAGGCTTGTCCTTGCTCTCCGTCACCTTGTACAGCTCGTCGTCAAAGTCTGAGAGTTGTGCAGTTTTGGCCATTTGGTCGCGCAGCATCATAAAAGGAGGCTGGTTGGGTGTGTAGCCCTTGTTGAAGAGGAACTCAAGACCATAGTTGATGAGAGCCAGGTTGAGGAAGAGACCGTAGTTTTTGAGGCAGTACCCTCGATGTCCAACAATCTTAACCCCGCGCTCCGGGTCGTAGCCGTCGAGTCGCGTGAGCACGCCGTGGTGTGGAATACCGTCTTTCTTAAACTCTGCTTTCCGGTCGGCGGGCGCCCATGTCTTGACCACGGCGTTGTCGTCTTCGGTTGTGGAGACGGGCACATCCTTGTACACGTAGTTGCCAATGCTCTTTGCCTTGATGTTGAGCTTCTTCAGCTTCTCGTCGGCCTCTTCCTGCTGTGCCTTCTTCTTCTTCTCAAGCTCCACCTTCTCGGCGAGGAGATCATCGGCATTCTCCTTGGCCTTCTTCTTCTGCCCTATCTGCTTCTGAATGGCGTTGATGCTGGAACCGATTTGTGTTGCGGCATATTGTGTTTTGCGGTGGTCCTCAAAGTCGGCAATGATTTCGTCGACCAGTTCGACGGGCGCGTTTCGCTTGCGCTGAGAGTCGCGAATTTTCTCTGGGTCGCCGCCGCGCTCCTTGATGAAGTCGTTGCTGTTGCCCCTCCATATTAGCAGCCGAGTCCGAATTTTGGTGTGGAATATCTTCCAATGCATTCAGTGAAACAAGTTATGGTAAGCAAAGAAACGGTAGCAATATCACTCACATGTCTAGCATCGTGGCTCACTTGTATAGTATCTGGGTATATGTGGTGGATTCTGGGGTACAGCTATGCAATACACTACAACCCAAGTTCCAGCAACGGACAATTCTGGCCGAACAGTGTCGTTGCTTGACTCAGGAAACAAGGGTCTGTGCCATGGAGGGGCAACTGTGGCGTCTCTCCAGTGGCGGTGCACACACCAGCCACTATGCGCAGGCAGAGACACGCCCAGCTAGTAGTCCCCAATTTGCGTGTGTGTAGCTAAGAAAAGTAAAAAGACTCGCGCTCCGAGTCGGTCCAAATAAAGTCCGAGCAGCCTCAAAGCCCAAGCTGAAGCTGCCCGGAGAGGCAAGCCAACAGCACATCCGTCGAACATGGTGGCTCCTCTGTCAAAGCTTCAGAGCTGCCTAATCAAGCTCGAGAGGTGGTCGGTGCATTGCAGGTGGGGAGCTCTCTGACCATCTGTGCTCTCTATTGCACATGAGAACTGCAGCCCTGGTCAGAGCCATCACACTGCCTGCCATTGGGGAGCCTGTCAAGGGACTTGATGTGTTACGGGATTGTATGTGTACACAGTGTATGGCCATGTCCACGGTGCACACCACCATTCTCAAAAAGCAGATACCAAATAACGCCCATTACACCTCCGCTCAAACGCCATTACGCCGCCGTGCCTCCGTCGAGGTACCAGGAACCAGTGACAATGAAAAGGGAACCAATCCCAAGCAACCATCTATGCCGTCTATGAAACCTGCGGAAGCGAACACTGGCCGCCGATCCTCACTCGAAGAGAGACTTTAAAAAGGCCATCGGGTGCGACAGCCATTGCTTCCTCTTCTCTCTCGTCTCCCTTTGTTCCTTTTGCAGTTCCGCGAGCCGGGTGACCGTCATACCTCGCAGACACAATATCTTGTCAGTCAAGATTGTTTTCTACATGACTTGACACTTGCTCCCGCCTGCGGGCTCACCAGGATTCTGACTCTTCTCCACCTCTTGAATCATGAGCTCAAATGCCTTTTGTACATTTTCGTTGTATCGCGCCGAGGCTTCGGTCCAGGCACACTTGAATTCAGCAGCAAGTGCCTTGCCGTCTTCGGGGGTGACTTGACGTTGTTCAGGACGGAGATCGGATTTGTTGCCTACGATGACAAGCGGAATCCAGTCGACAGCCTACAAGGGACAGTATGATCAGAACGGGCACTTGTAAGTGGGAGTATGCAGTCGGTCGTAAGACGACATGACCGCCCACCACATGGGAGAGGAGTGGGGACGACATACAAGGTGGTTCAGGATCTTATCGCGAATGATGCGCGCCATCTCGAAACTCTGCTTGCTGGCGACCGAGTAGACAATCAAGTAGCCATGAATGCCAATGAAGTGCTTTGAGTTGAGAATACTATATTCATCCTGGACGGGAGAGTGGTCAAATTAGCTTCCTTGCTCATCTCTCTGCTAGGCTTTGCCTGTTCTTCTGTCCAACGCACTGCAGCCATGCGCATTGGCAATTCCAGGGGCAACATGGGGTGAAGGTGGGGCGCGCGCATCTAGAGAAGGGGTGCGGTGCGGGGAGAAATAAAAAACTGGTATACCTGGCCGGCGGTATCAATGATCTCGGTAGCAAATTCCTGGTTCTTGTAGCGGATCATTTTGCTAAACGTATTCTCAATGGTCGGGTAGTAGCTGTCGACAAAGTGGCCGTCGACAAACTGGACCGTCAGACTGGATTTGCCTGTTGGATAGGACGGTCAGCTACCAAGCTTTTGGGCGCATTCGCATGTGAAGTGTGCACCAAGCAACAAGCAAAAGAGGCCATGCTGTGGCATGGGGCAACCAACTCACCGACAGCTCGACTGCCGACAATGGCCATCTTTCTTTGCTTGGGGGCCGGCATGCTGGCGCTGGCGGTCTGTGTAGGTGGTGAAGAAAGCTGGTGGACTGGCCAGTGTAGAGGTTGTGGCCGTCTCAGTCCACCGCCCTGGTGGGCAACTGCCTAAGGATTGTTTGGACTGGCCGATTTTCCTGGACGAGCTAGCTTGTGAGCTCGGGATGACGGCTGTCGACCTTGGACGCGCGCTGGACCGAGTGGGACAAGTCAGCAAAAAAGGACCAACAAGTGAGTGCCTTCTTAGGGTCCAGGCCCCAGCGTGGCTGTCTGGCTGTCTGGTTGTCTGGCTGTCTGGTTGTCTGGCTGTCTGGTTGTCTGGCTGTCTGGTTGTCTGGCTGTCTGGTTGTCTGGCTGTCTGGTTGTCTGGCTGTCTGGTTGTCTGGCTGTTTGTCTGTACACGCCAAGCTAAGCTTCTACTGTGCCATCTGCCAGGGTGAATTGCGAAAGAAGGATGAAGGTATAGCGAGAAGGGAGTAGCTAGGCAGGTTGGTATGGTTGGTATGGTAGGTAGTCAGGTAGGGCCATTAGGGTGGATGAGGAAGACGGTCACGGCCTGCCTTTGACCATGAGAAAAGTGCCCGGCCGTGAAACCGTTATGCCGTCATGTCGCGAGTCTGCAACCCAGGTGGCCGGGATGCTTTCATCAGCCTGTATCTACACTCTACACTCTACACTCTACACTCTACACTCTACTACACTTTACTGCATTGTGGGCAGGCAGCGGGTAACACACAACCACACGCCCACACACAGACACACCCACATGCCATATGGATACATAGAATACATAGGAGAGTTTTAGTTAGGGGGCATGGTGTGTATGTGTGTGTGTGTGTGTGTGTGGGGAGGGGTGGGAATGCAGCCCACGAGTTCTGGCCAGTCGTAGACGGCTTCATTGGTTTACAGTCTGAGAAGGGAAGGGGCGCAGGCAGGCCGCATGACGGTCCCCAACAAATCCAACGCATTTTACGTGATGTCAAATCCTCGATTGGGTCCTAGCCCACCCTGCACCTGCTCACCTCACCATCACCATCACCATCACCACCACCACCACCCGAACAAACAAACGCCTGGCTGGGCGTGAAACAAAAGACAGCCCAGCCAGCCAGACAGCAGCCAGGCAATTGCAGCTTCGAAATCTCGACCAAACACCACTACCACCTACCTACCACCCGGCTCCCCGTTTCGACACTTTGTCACTTGTGCACTCGGCGGTTGATGCACTTGGGCCAAGACAACAATGGAGCGAAAAGTCGAGTCAAGCCCCTGCAGTCAGCCTGTAGGCAATCACATGTGAATTATATACAAGATTTGAGCCCCATGGCTAGGTACACAGAGGAGGAGCTACAGCACAAGTGCAAACATGCAAGTGTCAGACTTGACCTCGCATCATCATACTAGAGTATGTAGTAGTATGCACATACTCTCTGTAGCCCATGAACAAGAAGAAAAAAAAAAGAAAGTAGTGTGTCAATGTGGTTTCGCCCAATCACTTCGCCACACGGTCATCCCCCCCCCCCCCCCCACCAATTCAAGCCAGTTGCGTCATGCTGAACCGGATTCCTGGGAACGGGTGCAGCCTTATGAAGGTACGAGGTTGCTGCGGGCGGACAAACAAAACTACGCCGCTCCGCTTCTCAAACAGAGAGAGAGAGAGAGAGAGAGTCGCATCTACCCAAAACACCACACCCACACATGCTCAATCAAGTACATACATGGCCAACCCCCATATTATACCACGCTGCATAATCTCTCTACAAATCCAACACGGAAAGTATCCTAGCCTAAAAGCTTGCCGACCACCCCTCTGCCCGCCCATGTACTCCCTGTAGACATGGCAATCCATCAGCCAATCCCGAGCAAGAGAGATTCGGGTGAGGCACCGGGCAGCCGTGTAAATTGTCCCGGCCCGGTCGGCCATCGCTCCTGCAACATGGCTGAACCCAGGGTATATCATCGTGCTTTCCACTACAACCAGCCCAAATAGAAGGAATCAAGAAGAAACAGACGCCCATGACAAGCAAGAGGCAATTGCTGCCCGACGGTTAATCGTTTCCGGCCTTCAATCTTCCTTCAAGGAGAAGAGCCCGCCTTTCCAATGGCCCTCGCACACACAGACTGCCTCGTCCACCGTGATCCAACGCATTCGAGCCGTAATCCTCCGCACCTGGCACCCTCGCTGCGCTTTCCCCCCTCAACGCCCTTCCCCCAGCCCCTTTCACCTCTCCGTTCTTTCTAGCTTCTCCACCACAAGCATCAGTCGTGCCGTGTAATTCTGCCAAGTCTCACGGCCCTCGGCGCCTTCGTACTGCTCAGTCTTACCATCAACGTGCTCGTGATACTGCACAAACTCCCGGATCTTCGTAATCAATACACCCAGTCGTTGATCCGGCAGTTGGGCGCAAACCTTCGACCTCGTACTGTCGTTGAGACAAAGATTCCCGAGCAGAACAGTAAGATAGCCGACGGGCACATTCGATTGGGATTCTTCCATAGATTGCGCCTGCCATTAGTGTGAGCAATTTCATGCATATATACAACCCCTCATGTGACGAGAGACGTACCTGCGCAGCGCGTTCAGAGCCTTCGACGAAAATCCGCACAAGGGTGCTGATCATTTGCTGACCATCGTCGACACTTAATCTCGCTTGGTCGCTGAACTCTGCAAGATTAATCAGAGCGCCCAAGCTCAGAATCAACATCTCAAGCACAGTCGTTCGTTCCTCCTGACTGAGCTCAGAGCGCAAGCGTGCAAAGTTTCGTGTGACACCTGACACCAGAGGCTGGACAAACTTCTCTCCGGAAAATGGCAAGCAAGCTTTGGGCTTGTTGTTGGTGAGGTTCATACACAGCTTCACTGTGAGCATGGTCGAAGACGCATCTTCGAGTCCAAATACAACAGGCATGACTTCTGCCAAGCGCCCCAGTATCTTCCCTGACCATAGCACCGGCTTCTGTCGTGCGCCAGAGACTGATTCTAGGATCGAAACAACCAAGTAGAGGACTTGAGAATCATGTACGCTCACTTTGCCATCTTCAATGCGCGCGCACGTTTTTGAGGCGACTTCAATAAGGATCAGGACCTGATCCTGGTCCAGAGGACATTCGGCGCTACCAGAGCGTCTCAAGCCAACCACAAGTGACTCCAACGCTTTCAAAGCCAAGACTTGCGGCGTGAATCTGTCCAGGCCGTGCTCTGACCATACCGAGGACGTTGATAGTCGGCAGTGAAACTGTTTAACAGACTCCACCGCTATTAGGGACAGGTTCGTCTTGCGGTTCTTTGCAAGGCGCATGATCTCAACATCGTTAGTTGCAAGACTAACCAGGCTAGACACGACGCCGGCCCGGTAGATCTGATCCAAGACGACACTGGTAGGGCTTGCTTGGAGTATCAATGTCACGACGACAGCGGTAACAACATCAAATATAACCTCGCCGTTGGAATTAATGTTTTCAAAAAACGAGCGTGCCAGTGTAGAGTCCAATAGCTGGTTGCTGAACGCTTCGTCTTCCATTCTGGAACAGAGCTCCAAGATGGCGCTTCGCCTGACCGTGTTGCCACTGCTGATTGGAAGATCATCAATGTACATCCGTACATCGTCGTTGAAAGTATTCTGCTGCCCTTTCTTCTTGAGTACATGAGTCGCTTGGACTTGGCTTGCAGGACCTTCATCATCACCTGAAAGGCCATCTTTGGTTTGTGTGTCGAAATCAAGATCATCGTCCAAAATCAGAAGTGCGTCCTCAGGGTTGGCTTCTTCAAGATATGATCTTGATTTTGCATATGTCAACTTCGCACGGGTGCCGAAAGACGTCGTTTGCGATGTTTGTGACTCGACTGCTCGCTCCAGTTCTACATCCATATCCTCAAGATGGACATCGGCTGAAAATTGGGGCTCTGCCGACTGATCTATCCGTGCACCAAGCCGGCGCAAGCTGGCAGACCCCTCGCCAAGACTCTGCTCGCTCGATGCTTCGCTCTGGTCGTCGCTTGAGCCCATCTCTTCATCGTCTTCGGAACTCGCGTTTTCGTCCTTCAGAGTATCGATAAGCCGCATCTTTCGTGCTTGCGCGCTATGAGTCATGTCCGATTTCGATCTTGATAGAGCGCCGAGTAGAGTCCTCGGTTTTTGATCCGTTAATGTCAAGGACGCAAGGCTCGGCATGGGTGTTCGCGAGGGTTGATCGCCTAGAAGGCTACTGAACAGGGCCTTTTGACGTGGAGTGACGGAGCCTGAGACTGTAGATTTTGAAGGAATCGGAGTAGTAAGTGGATTGGGGATTTCATACATCGTTTCATCCTCTGTTCTGGGAGAGTGTGGTGCTTCAAGTATTGAGGGAGATTTTGCTGTTGAACCATGCAGCATATTGCTCAATTTAGCTGGCGATGACTGACCCGTACTCATCTTTCGTCGGGAGAATACAGGGACGGTAAGCTGACGTGTCCTCCTCGGCTTATTAATGGCCGGTACTGTAGGTGGAGCCCGTGGTTGTGAGGGCACCATGCTCGATTCCATGTTGTCTTCATGCCGTGGAGATATGCCATCTTCTTTCCTCTGGAGTTTGCGACTACGTTGAGGGGCGGACAGATCGAGTTCAGAACTGACCTGTGCTCTGCCCGTGTTTACAGCGGAGACTGACCCTCGTCGCTTCCGTTTTTTCGATATATTGGAGTCATCAGACTCCGCAGAGTGCTTTGGAGCTCTCTCTTTTGAAGTCTGCTGCTGCCCAGTTGCATTTTTCTGTTGTGAAACACGGCCTATGCGCAACGGCTTCCGCGGTAGTATAGTCATCTCATCGTCTGATAAAGGCATATCGTACACATCCATATCGCCCGACGCCTTCGCGGTGGTCTTGGTCGTCGCCTTTTTCAAAGTCGTGGCAGGTACGCCTCTCGCTTTCGTCATGGGTTTGGACGCAGAAACTGCTGGTGTCGTAGCGCGCGATATTGTCTTGCTGTCCGCCACTGGCTGCTTCGTAGACTTTTGTGTTGCCACATCTTGCACCGGTTGGGGTGTCCGCCCGCGCCGTAGCGCTGGAGCAGTTGTACTCTTCGGTGCTTGTGTAGGGTTTCCTGCCGGCGTTGGTCGGTCGGCTTTGCGTACGATCTTTGCATCTGCGGCTTCAGGCTTCGTAGTCTTAGGTTTGGGCAACTGCTGTGGAGTGTGGTTCTGATGCTGTTTCCGTGAACGCGTAGATGCTTCTGTGTCCGCAGCTGGCACATGCCGATTTGCTTCTGGGATTCGGGGCTTCTTCGCATGCCTTATGGGGCGACTTGGAAGCTCGTCGTCTGAAGGGACGTCGAAGATATCATGATCCTTCACACTCGGTCGCATTTTCTCCGCAGCCTTCGCCGGCTTCAATGCTCCTCCTCCCCCACCATGCGACGCCTCGTTCTTCCGCGCGACCGTCTTTCTTGGTCGATTGGGTGAAGGCGGCTCCTCCGCTAGGTCTGGTGGCGGTGTTGGGATGATGGATGGTCGAGACTTCTTGCCGTATGTGATGACCTTCTTGCGGCGATCCGCAGTGGTGAAGCTGGACATCATGGAAGCCATGGAATGGGTAGGTAGTACTTCTGATGTTGTTGTTATTGCCCTCCAAAACTGTAATCAGACGCGCATTACGGGCGATGGCCGTATCAAATGTTCCCAAGGTGGCCTGTGTATGATGACGCCTGTCCCCAACATGAGCAAGTTAAGTTTGGAGGCAAGCGCGTCCGGTCTTTTCACCGTGACAAAGCTATCAGAGTGTTTGGACTGTGGACATTGAATTGGAACTTTGGTGAGACAATGCTCAAAACGGAAAGCCGCATGGGCGGACTGTACAATGACGAAGGCCTGTGCTTGTAAGTTGAGGAGGCAGGCGCAGGGTCGCGAACGGGCAGGCACGCTAGTCCAAGATAGCGCGGGACGATCAAGGTACCGATACCCTCCTGCCAAACGAAGTGATGGAGGTCGCCGATGGTCACGAGCCTAGACTTTGAGCCCGCCTACGGCCCAGTCCTCCTCCTGCACCTCTTATCTGTATACTTTGTCTTGTCTTCCAACCTCTTCTCTACGGTCTGGCTCAACTTTTGACCGAATTGGATACCCCACTTGCCGCGGACTTTGGGATCTTTCCGCAACCACGTACCGTATCACGAGCCCATAGCTTTCAGTCAAGAGCTCTGCAATATCACCTCCTCATCGAAGCCATCAGCCTAGAATACCATCTCAAGGTCTTACCAGATCGTCTGATTGTAAGGACGGCATTCACATATGAGTCCGTTGTATGCCAAGTGCTAACAGTGTTCAGTCTTGTACCCCTCTTCTCCACAGTGACAGCTGTACTCAACCACACATAATGCCTACCGAAGCCCAACCAACTGCTCCCTCACAATGTGTCGGCCCTGAATATCGTGATGCCACTGAGAAGCCGACCGCCACGGTATCGACTCCACTGAAACAGGCCAATGTTCACATCCTGCCTCAAACTCCACAGCTGATAGCATTGCTCACGTAAGGCCCCCGTAAATAGGATCAATGCCAATATACATCGATTAACGACATACCAGCATGATACGTGATCGCTCCACAGGACGTGCAGACTTCATCTTTTACAGCAACCGTATCATTCGCTTGCTCGTGGAGGAAGGCCTAAACCATCTCCCCGTGGTCCAACGTGAGATCACCACGCCTGTTGGGCGGACCTATTCTGGCGTCAAGTTCGAGGGTAAGATTTGTGGCGTATCAATCATGCGTGCAGGCGAGTCCATGGAGCAGGGTCTCAGGGATTGCTGTAGGTCAGTTCGTATTGGCAAGATCCTGATTCAGAGGGACGAGGAAACGAGCAAGCCGAAGCTGTACTATGATAAGCTGCCCGAAGACATCGCTGATCGATGGGTGTTGCTTTTGGATCCTATGCTTGCTACAGGTAAGATTTGGCCGGCGTATTATGGGTATTGTCATTGACCAGGCTAGGTGGCTCGGCGCTCATGGCCATCGAGGTGTTGATTTCTAGGGGCGTTCCAGAGGAGCACATTCTGTTCCTCAACCTGATTGCCAGCCCTGAAGGCGCACAGAATCTTGCGAAAAAGTTTCCAAAGGTTAGAGTCGTCACCGCCTTTGTTGACCAAGGTCTGGACGAGAAGAAGTAGGTACTTCACGCCCACGTCTGGTCCAAACTAACAACTCTTAGCTACATCATCCCTGGTCTCGGTGATTTCGGAGATCGATTCTACACCATGTAAACAAATCATGCCTCTGAGCTTTGAGCTCTGGGCATAGGTAGCGTGAGGAAACAATCATTATGTCTTCGGTTCGCCGCAGGTATCAGTCGGTTGGCATGTAATACCCTTCTTAAACGCGCTCTACTATCTCCATAGCTAATAAAGGTTCTGAAATCAATTTCAACGCCACGACCATGCAGGTCCAATTTTCGGTATACCCCCAACGCCATACATTCAAGGCAAGGCACCTGCCTGCCATTGATCCCCATGTTGTACAGAAACTAGAAGAACTCTGCGCCAGCGTTCAGTCTGCATATTCGCCCTCGGCGTCTACATCGTCCTGTTCAATGAAGCCGTCTTCGTCAACATCCGTCATTTTAGGCAGCGCTCCACTTCGATTTGTCGACCGCTCAGTTGTCGCATTGCCCCTTGCGGCCTCCTTCGCTACCGCATCGCAAGCATCCATCCAATCGGCGTAGACATCGACGGGAGCAGAGAGGTAGTTGATGTTGGTCTGGAAGGTTTGGCCACAGACCTTGCACTGCAGGTTCCCGACGCCAGACTTCTTTTCGATGGAGACAGAAACAGACTTCTCGTGGTTGCAGAAGAGACACTGGAAGATGGTCGGGAGCTTCTCCTTCTGTGAGGACACTGTTAGAGTGGGTCGCAGCATAGAAGAGATAAGAGATGCTACCTTCTTGGGGCCTTGGGGCTTGCTTGACGACTTGCGCTTGCCCTATTGTCTCGTGAGTATGTGCATGCGACTCGAGTGCTGGGGCAAGGCTGACCATTTGGGGGGAGTGTTGTAGAGCGTTATGTGGTTTTGTAGATCAGCCTGTGGCCAATGTGATGACTGAGATAAGTTGTGACGGGCGGTGCGAATAGGGTCGAGTAGTAGGGTTGGGTTGCGCTGCTGGCACTCGAAAGTAAATGGTGAGTCGTGACGCGGTTCCTTTGGTGAGTTTGCAGGTGCTTCGCGCAGTTCCGACGCCAAGCGAGCTACCGCACCCTTGCAGCTGCCCCATGCGTCGATAAGCCCCGCGCCTATCACGCATCGGTAAGATGCATGGTAACGTTAGTCACCTGTCCCCGTTCGGAGGGGGAGCTCGAGCTGCCCATAACTGTCCACGTTGTTCCCTTGACTTCTCCTTTCTTATTCTCTCTCTGGTTTCCTCTCGAGTGCCCTCTGTTGCTGTCACAAGTCTTGTTCGATCTTGATCACTGCTGACCTTTCAAAAGTCCATCCGAGCCGTTCCCTCCTAGGCTCTCTTACATCCTCCACGGCAGTCATCGGACTAGTCTTCGTTACAAGGCTTCCCTCAGTATATACAACAAGGCTTTCCAATCTACCCGTAGTATCTTTGGCTTGTTTCTTTTTTTTTTACTTCAAGAACAATTCATTCCCACCATGTCAACAAGCAGCAATCTAAGTGATGCTGTGCTCAAGGAGATCTTGGAGGGGCTGAAGGCACTCCGTTCGGAGAACTCCGCACTTGCCGCATCTGTCGACAAGATCAATGGCCGAGTAAATATGTTGGCTGGAATTAAGCAGTTAAAGGATGAGGCAGCACGTGATGCTGCGAGTGGTTCCTTGAGTGCAGACAAGGCAAAGGAAGCGCAGTCAGAGAAGACTGTAGAGGCCGTTAGTCAACAGTATGAAGCACCTCCTTCGAATGTGGATGCTCCGCCTCGTCGAGCTAGTGTCTCAAAGACTTCCAAAATCATCTTGACTTCGTACCCTGGCCAAGCTGGTGTTGATCCATTGCCCATGGAGTGGGGTGCCAAGGACCCTGCTGTTCGTGGCCCGGTTGTGGTGTCGAGACATCCCAACACCATTCGTAGGCGTAACGGTATGTTGACCTACTGTCATCCACGAGTACAATGTTTTTGCTCACGTGTTATTAGCTATCGGTGCTCATGGAGGCTCCTACTCCATTTACAATGCGCTTGCCGTAGCAAGCAAGAACCTCGATATTACTCACAAACCAGATTTCACCAACACTGAGCCCGCCGCAAAGATTGGTCCATTCCCGCAATGGAGCGATGCGAAGAAGATTGTTGCTATGGATCCGTATGGACACCTTGCTCCGTGGCTCTATAAAGAGACCATGGACAAGGACGACGTTGAGATTAGACCCACAATCGCCATCACTCGAGCCCATATGAAGCTCCCAGAGCTGGAGGAAAGTGTGAGAAAGGGACGTCTCGTTCCCGACGGCAAGATATGCATCAACAATCAGGGCGAAGTAGCCGTCACCAAGGTTGCCGTCGAGCCTGTGTGGTACCTTCCCGGAGTTGCTGAGCGCTTCAACATTGGTCAGTGAAGTCAGAACTTTTTGTGCATCCAGCTTGCTAATGTCGTCTGTAGATGAAGGAACACTGCGACGAACATTATTTGAGGAGACTGGAGGATCTTACCCTGAGTTAATCACACGTCACGATATCAAGATCTTCTTGCCTCCGATCGGTGGTCTCACAGTCTACATTTTTGGAGACCCAGCAAAGATGTCGGATCCCAGCGCCCGGCTCGCTCTTCGAGTTCACGATGAATGTAACGGCAGCGATGTGTTTGGCTCAGATATTTGCACTTGTCGTCCATACTTGACTTTTGGTATTGAAGAAGCAGTCAAAGAAGCACAGAAGGGTGGTAGTGGTGTTGTCATCTACTTCCGCAAGGAGGGTCGAGCTCTCGGCGAGGTTACCAAATACCTCGTCTACAATGCTCGGAAACGAGGGGAAGATCGGGCCAGCGAGTACTTCAAGAGGACCGAAAACATTGCTGGTGTCAAGGACATGCGCTTCCAAGCTCTCATGCCTGATATTCTGCACTGGCTCGGTATCACCAAGATTGACCGCATGCTCAGCATGTCGAACATGAAGCACGACGCAATCGTCGAACAAGGCATTCCAATCCACGAGCGAGTCCCAATTCCAGACGAGATGATCCCGGCCGACAGTCGTGTCGAGATTGATGCCAAAATTCAGGCTGGTTACTGTAAGTTCCACGACCCTTGATCTACCGCATTATTCGACGGCGAGCTTGCTCGAGATAGACGTCAGATGATACGACTGGGACCAATTGTTTGGAATAATTTGAAGCTGACGCGTACTCTGCAGTTACTACGGGACATGTCATGTCGATGGAAGAGCTGGCCAATGTTAAGGGCCGTGGCTGGGAAGACATTGATGTACGTGTACTAGCATTCCCCAAGTGATGTGCAAGATAACTGACCTCGAATATAGCATTGAGCAAGAATACTCTCCACTTATAAAAGTGATATGATGTGCAAGATGCTGTGCCAGTGTTGGATGGTGATCAAAAC